TGAATACAATAAAAAGCTTGCCTCACGAGATTCGTGAAACAATGACTGTCTCACTTCCTCGCAGACCGCCACTTCGTCACCTCTTAGAAACTTCACGAACTGTTCACGTTTATTCAAAGGCAAATGAAGTGAACGTCTTAATCGACCACTCAACCGCGAAAGAAACGATGTACTTGACTCAGTGCGTTGTAAGACCAATGGCGTCAGCGTTATAGGTGTTGTTGGAAGTTCTATGCTACTGGGCCCAGCTCCATCATCCTCAACATCTGGCAATGAAGTCATGGCGGACGTTGTGGGTAAAGAAAAGAACGATGCTTGTTCCTTATCTCTAACCTCTTCAGCAGTCGTATGCGCATCTGAAATGAGCAAAATACTTGTTGATCGATTAGGAAATGGCCTCTTCCAACTGGGAAACCTATAATGTGGAGAAAAGAAGCTTTCAGTATGCTTTTTTCTATAAATAATTTGTTTGTATTACAGCCGAGTATATGTTTGAAAAGATTTTCAAAAGCAGTATTTCCGATGAATCCTAAGACTACACTGCCTTTATGATATAATCTCTATTCTGGACTATTCGGAAACAAGCATTAGGAGTCCTTAATTAAAAAATTGATTGGTAAGTCCTACAATGACTGTAACCTAGTTATTCACTACATTAATCTGTATTAGGATCAGAACTGTAAAATATGCAGGCTAGATCCTGATCCATAAAGAAGAATGGATAGGATAATAAACTGATGATACTGATCGATAAGGAGGAAAACAAAAAGCTGAAAGACTCGTTTCCGTTCCCTTTTTTTTCACGATTCCATTCACTTCTTTCATGACCCAGTAATTTGCAAGATAGGATATGGTTAAGGTAACAAAGATCGTTTTTGAACGGGCAAAAAACGAAGAATTCCTGAGAGAAAGACATCTTAACATCATAATCGTAAATGTCATATATATACCTATTTTATTTCGCTTGACGATATGCTAGGAAACTTAATTACGATGTGACACTAAATTCCTGAAGAAACCTAATGACAGCCGTGAAAAACTGTACACTCGAAAGTTTCAATTAGGATTTCAATTAGAATACGTTACCACATAGAACTACCTAGAATCCTAATATTAAAAATTTGAACGTTTGAAATGAATCTTGACATTTTAGAAAACCGGGAAAATAATAGTTGTAAGGAAAAATGTTAGAATAAAAATTTTGATAACGTCCAAAAGCTCGAAAAAATTAGTAAAAATTAATATTTTTGACCAATTATTCAGTAGAAGTTAAATCCCTCTCTTTCTTCCCATCCTTACCTCCCCCCAGAGGCAAAAAACTAATACGTGATCTTCAAAATTGTTAAACCAAAAAAGAACTTACCCTAAAAGATGATCGATGGGATAATCCACTTTAAAAGAGTAGGAAGAAAGGCATTGTTTTACCTGTCATTTTTTTCGTATTAATCGATTTCCTGCGCTTGACAAATGATTGATACAAGTTATCCCAGGTGCTACGATGAAATACAATCAAGCTGCTACGATAAAATGATCTCATCGTGGAGCTACTGTGATCTCCTGACATTTGACCACCAAACAAACATAGACAAAAATTTGAAACCGTTCTCCCTTCTTTCTTCCTTTTTGTCTGCTACTGTCCACACTCCTTGTTCAATTTCTGCAATAAGTATTTGAAGAATTTAGTAGCAAATGAAACACAATGTGTAAATATTTTCAGGTTAAAATTTTCCACAAAAAGTAAAAACTTGAGAAACCCGTTCAACAAGTCTTCATCCGTCAACTTATTCTCGCTCCTTTTCTCTATTTTCCATTTTCAGTCCCTTGTACCTTTACCCAACTGTTTTTTAACTTCATCTTTACTTCCTCGTATAAACCTATCTACGGCATTTCCATACATTTTAATGAAACATGATAATGGTCCAAGCGTTAAAAAAAATACTAAAAGTTCGATGATCAATGGAAAATGCTAAAAGGCACTAAATTTGAAGTCCGAGTGCTATTTCTTACCTACAGGTCAGTACGAAAATTATTACAGCAGTAGAATACCATCAGCATACCAATTTCATTTCAGCCGACGATGGAATGGAATAAAAGTAGGTACATGCTTGGTTTCATCAATGTAATTACATGTCGAAAACCATATAAAGATTGCTCCAGTCTCGACTTATCATTTCTAGTACCATATTTCTTCATCGTCTTCACCAAGAATAAGGCGCTCCCATACCAAACGAGTAATGCACGTGATCCACAATTAGATCTCCATATTTGTTTTAATACTATTATTTGCACATATTTTTCCACAGAAATCTATAGTACACCACAAATTCAAACTTATTACCTAATCTGAACCAAATTTCTTACAGTTCTCAGTTTTTGTAATGAATCTCACATATTCCACCTAGCACATATTTTGCTGGTGGATCTATCGACAAGTCTGCTCAGATATTAAGTAAATCACAAAAATTATTCATATTTTCCCAAAATCATTTAAGAAACGATAATCAGTGTTGAATTTCTCGAAAAAAAAACTGAAAAATAGAAATGTTTTCATCGTTATCAGAAGGAAAAGAAAAAAACGGGACGTACTTTGTAATATCTTATTGGTTGATAACCCAAAAGTGGTCGGTACTGTAATAATGCCATTTAAAAAACAGGGTGCCATTATAAGGCCATCGATCGAATATTATTGTGAAGGACACTGATGGTAACGACTGATCAATTGTTGAAGACTAGAAAGTTAATGATCATTTCCAAAGCACATAAATCATCCTATTTTCTCCAAAGGCATTGTTTTTAACACAACAAACAGTCGCCGATCTTTGTCCTTCTGTCAGTATCAACACATTGCTGCAATGAAATTTACAGGTTGTTCGGAAATTCCTACATTGCTTTAATCCTAGACCTGATTTCGATGAGAAAGCTCCCCGACCGCCTTAATCTACGGATTCATTTCGAACATGAATAGATCATTTTCTCTTTGTCTCAAATCACTGCTAATCGAATCACTCATATTCAAACTACCTAAATTATCCTCCCATTTAGTTTACACTCCCACTATTTCCTCGCCCACTTGATAATGTTATGCCGTTTGGATGGATAATAACATAACAGAAATTCACTTAATACTGAACTTTCTTGATAGAATGGAAAAAAAATGAGTGGAAAAAATTCAAGTAAAATAAGAAAATACGATACAAATATGTCATTACACTGAACTAATCTTTTATGATTAAAAGATATTTAATTCACAAAAAAGTCCGATTTGGACATTTTATCGTAATGACAGAGTACTAATCCTCACAAATTTTAGATAAGCAAAACGGGTACTGTTTGTCGCATTGAGGGAAGGGAAAAGGAAAATTTAGCAGATAATTTGCAGTTGGATGCCTTCCGCATGTGTTCATAAGACTATTATGATCATTACCAGTGTCGAAAAATTTAGACTGATTAAAGATCAGAAAAGCAAATTGAAACAAATGAATCACTAAATGAAAGAGGAAATGAATCATTCATGTTCATTTACAGATGTTCGGGATGAGAAACTAAACATCACTGAAGAGATGAATGAATTATCTGGAAAAAGGTTACAATTCATTTAAGATGAAGATTTGCATTTTTTATGGAAAACGCAAATTTTCAACATGGTGGATGCTACAATCCACTCAGAAAATATCGCGAATTCCATCCCCCTTTTTTTTCTTTCACTCCATTTTACTTGTTTCCATTAGCTTCTCCAAGGAAGATAGAAACCATGAATTTGTTTATGACCGTGGATAACTTAAATATAAGTCCTTTCTAGCTTGCTTTAATTTGACAGATTTGAATTCGCTTTTTGTCAAGATCACGGATAGCTTGAAAGATGTAAACAGTGTGATCCGGACCAAGCGATTGCAAAGTAAGAACAGTTGCAAGATCTCGAAAATAGGAATTAAGTATTCAACTCAAAACATTATAACTAGAAGTGAAATAAACTAAATATAACGAAAAATTATCAAAGCTGAGTTCTAGACTTTTAAATTTGGATCACTATCGCCACATTCAATTAAATGACATGAAGATAAAGTTTCCAGGACACATACAGGAGTCAGTTCTGCATATCGAGACAGACGAACAATATTCGAACAACTCATTGGACGAAAAGTAATTCGTATACGGCGCTTGTTAACATCTGATTTGGAGCGTATACGTTGGGGCAGGTGCACGTGGTCTCGCCAAGTAATACGTTTAACAAAAGGTATGCATATATATTTGTGAATAGTTGTTGAATAAAGTAGGAAGATAGTTTAGTCTTACTGTGCAATTTAACCTTGTAATTCCCTGAACCATTACTTAATATAGTTTATTGTCAACTGAACTGTACTCTTCACCCCTCTTCTGTTTACCATATTCTTCGTAAGACTGCATTGTATGCATCATCATATGTGCAGTTTATTTTGTTACATCATATAATGCCCCGTGCCAGTTACGTTAGAGATTTAAGGTTTGAGTTAAATTCTACAATCTTTTGAATATTTGAATATTTTGAACCAACTATATTTGTGTTTCTGTTCCTATCGGTGTATAATTTGTATGTTATGTAGAGTATTTATTTTAGTTTCACTAATTTATAAGAAGCTATTACTCTTCCGAAAACCTCAGTATTACTTCGGGTCTGAATTATGAAGTTAAAATTTGAATTCATAAAGTTTAGATCTGAAATGCATCATTGAGGTTTTATTTCTCTCGAGTGAATGTTGTAGTGTACCAAGTATTGAACATGTTATTATGTTGAATTAAGTATAGCACTTCATTTTTTTCAGTTTCACATGGGTATAAACTGATAAATTATTTCGTTTGATAAGTTTGTAATTCAGACTTATAAAATTGGTCAGGTGTTACATCATCGGAGTTTCAATTATTATTTCACTAACTATTGGCATAGAAGATTTGATGGATTATTTTCAGGTTAAAAAATTCTGTAGCTATTTTGATGAATTCTAAATGAGGTGGCATTAACATCAATGTTTCGGAGTCAGCAAATTGCACGTTTGTTGTTGGAAAAGGAAGAACTAGATGATTGTCTGCTTAGCGATGATCATTCCGAGTGGTATTGTATTGACAGGTATGTCACTGAAATCACCATACAGATGAAGAAACGTCAAATTAGTCTAATGGATTCAGAACTTATTGTAAATCGAGGGAAGAGAATGGAAATGTGCCAATTGCTGTAGTTGATTTCAAGGAATGCTGTAACTTCGTATATGCAAAAAAAATTCCATCAATTCTCCATGGATGATGGTGTGGAAACGTTTCTAAACGATTCTCTTGAGACCAGTAATTCACTATGTTTACAGGCATGTCTTTTTTTACTTTTGATTCTATTTACTTCTTTCCTATTTCGGTTTTTCGATGGTATTAATATCCGATTATCATCTTGTCAGTGATGTTTGAAAGAAATAACGAAGTCAAATGCAAAATGATTCTATAAAAGACGGTTTACTCAATGAACTCTAGAAAGGAAACGAAGATTTTTGCACCCTGAAAAAAAAATATTGTATTTCGGTGACTGCTGGGGTAAATGATGGTTCATGTGGATGCTTTTCTAGTTTTTTATCCATATAGTAATTTACTTTAAATCGTTATTCCTTCCCAGGTATGTTGCTTTTTGGGTTTTCTTTTCCATTGGTTTTCTATTGTAGAGACTACAATATTAGATGATGTTATGAATGTTATGAAATCGCACCTGTGTGGTAAAGATAAAGTCATCAGAAATCATTAATTTTTGCTTTCACTGAACAAATTAAGTATCTTAATGTTTTCCGAAATTTCAGGTCTGGTATACATTTCTTACTTCGTTTTTGTCAATGGTACTGACGAAAACAAGCATTAATGGTGTCCTGGGTCGAGGTGGTATGCATCTTTTCTCCCTCAGTCAGTTGCAAGAATTTTTGGACGTTTCGGCTGAATGGGTTTCTCACGATAAAGAGGTTGAAGTTTTCAATCAGATATCATTTCTTTCTTACATTTTTGTATTCGGATTTGGCACTGCTTCGAATGTTTTCAGAATTTTTCAACAATTTAGGAAGTTCTTTTGGGTCTTTATTCTAATGCAGTTAACTTCTATGTGGAAATCTTTTCATTCAGCTTCTGGATTTGGGTGCTGGAGATGGTCAGATAACTACCATAATGGCACAACTATATAGAACTGTTTCAGTTACAGAAGCGTCGAAGGTAAATTTAGTGATTCAGTCGCCTATTTTGGGTATTAGAAAATCTCATTTTGGATATTTTGAATTAGGCTTGTTCCAATATAATAAGTCTCCCGATGATTATTTGAGCTGTTAGCATTCCGTTTTAATATATCCCTAATTTGATAACGCATGTGCTAATTTGATAGTTGCAGCAAGGAGAGTGCTAAACATGGTATTGTGAATATATAAGTCACAAATTACGGAAGAAGTTAACGAACAGAGATTCGTGAAGTTACATTTCTGATCACTTAAAGTTTTCGGTTTTTATCCTTTCTTGTTATTAAAGATAATGGAATGGCGCTTGAAGCAACGTGGATTCAAAGTTGTTCCAATGAATATGTGGTATCAGTATGGGACGTATCATTTGGTTTCAGCGCTCAATCTGCTAGATCGTCATTACAATCCATCTTTATTATTAGCTCAATTATACTCAGTAACTCTACGTTCAGAATCATTGCTGTTGTTGACTGTTGTCTTACCATTGCATCAATATGTGGAATTTCATCCTACAAGTCGAGCAAATCGACCAGGTATCGTGTATTCTTTCAGAGGCTTCTACTACCTGTATATAATTTCGCGATATATTTTACAAGTAGATCAGTAGAGGTTATTCATATTTGTGAATTTGCATGTATTCGCTTCTGTATGAAGTTTTCAGGATCAAATTTTACACCAGAATACCCAAAAAAATTATGGTCATTTTGGTTCGCACGAAATTTTTTTTTTAGATGTAAAAATCGCGATCAAAGGTGAAACGTTCGAAGAGCAGGCGGGTTCGTTAGTCGCAGATATTCTGGAACCAGCAGGATTTGAGTTACTTAAATGGGGCAAACTGCCATATTTAAGCGAAGGAGATTTCAGAAGAGTTTGATCCTACAGTCTACTTTATTTTGATTTTTGTTTTTTTTTTTTTTTTTGTTTTTTTTTTTTTTTTGCTGAAGAGTCGTTCCAGACCTTCCAAAAAATCATAACTTTTCTTAAGGTTAAAATCGTCGCTGATCTAGGATTTCCCGAAAAGAAAAACCTTAAAAACGATCTGAAATCCATAATTTCAAATATTCCAGCCATTTTACCATCTTGACGATGCTGTATTTTTGCTAAAACCAAGAAAGATCAGCTCTGCTAGAAACGGTTCCTCGGATATCTTCACAGAAAATTCGGTGCTGAATCGAGATTTCACTTCATTTCAAAACTGTAATTAGCAAAAATTAAACTCCGAATAAATTTCTTGCCTCTTTTTTTCTATCAAAAATATCACATTTGTGAAGTTTATTTCTGGAATAGCCTAAAAACCCCCACAATGTATCAGGTTCCGGACTAATATAAGACAGCCGTCCAATCATCTATCAATTGCTGCAATTACTAACAGAGATAAAAATCGGAATATTTTCTAAAGAGGATCCCATGAACCACATTTCTCTTCTGGATGTTTTACCATAAGCCTGAGTGCTGTAAATTGTTTTAAACTATGAGTGGGAGAATAGACGGTAATGTAAGACTGTAAGTAGCAGGGAATCTGTGCAGTATATTCTGCTTAAAAGTGGTAGTGTTATGCTGCTTGCATGAAACGGTGAGCCGTGTTGGATATCGTGTTCGCATCGTCCTTCTGTCGCAAATGTCGTAGGGGAACCTTATCGATAGGTAACCATCTACCTTTACGGTGTTATTGTCCATAAATCATGTATCTTATACAATTATACGTGCGGTCGTCACATCCGTAGCACCATAATCTCACCCTATTGAGACTTCCGGCCCAGGCCGATGAGTATTTTACGGTGGAATATTGATGGCGAAGATAGAGAAGAAGGTTATACCTCTAGCTCCTTTCGGATTTGCAAAACTATTTAGATGTTAGAGCGTATGCGTCATTCAAGCCATCTCACTGTCATTAATGTGCGTAACGCCTATGAATGTTTCATACTGTCAGTGTGTTCTGAAATCTAATGCTGTGTATAATTTTAGAATGACTGACTCGGATACGGAATCATTTCACAGTGCTGTCGATAGCTTGTCGGATCGGGACGATGCAAGCACTACCGGTGCCATTAACCAAAAGAATGAAGAGGTTGGTGAAGGAAAGAGGGTCGACGCTGCCCGAGATAATAAATATGAATTCGGTGGATCCAATGAAACACAAAATAAGTATTCTGACAATAAATCCAGAGTAACTGAAGCAAACCGGAAGAAACAAATGTTTCGGAATTTAACAACTTTCGACAAACCTTCAAAATGCAGAGGAGTGCAGGAGTTTAGGATAGATAGTCATAAAATGTCTCGAATTGGAAGTAAGGGTTCTGAGTGGGGACTTGTATCGGAGATTATGAACAATGTGGATGATCACAATATAACAGGAAAAACAGATCGATCAGAAGAAAAAATCACTGGTGGTCATGACGGGTGGGATGACTGGGAGTTGGATTATTCAGGAAAAGATGGTAATGATGGCGGAATCTTAGATGAAAACTGTGAACCGTCGTGGATGCGAACATCTGATGTGGAAAATGGAGTTATTACTAATTCGAAATCAAAGGTTGATCTTTTAGTATCCTTTGTTCTAGTCGGTGAATATCTTACAAGTAGAGAAATTGAACAAATAATGTCTCCTTTGCATAAATCCTGTTCAGAAGATTGACATATGTCTCAATTTAAGTCACTTTTTGAATTGAAATGGCATTCAAATTAAGTACGGGATTAATGACTTCCATGCCGTCTTTAACTCTGTGAAAAACTCAGTTTTTATATGTTTCAGGCTGAAATAAAAACAAAAGAAGTAACAAATAAATCATTTTGGGATTGGGCCGAATTTGGAGATGTGGTCGCTGCTGTTGGTGAGTAATGCTTATATCACACCGCTGGTGAAATTCAACATGTTGGTGGTACTTTTTCTAATTTTTTCTTCAAATACTTTGGATTCTACTTTTATTTGCTACCTAATGAATGTTACGTCTTGAGGTGAAGGCCTAACAAACATATCCAGTGCTGTCGAATCAGGCCTTGGATTGCCGGCGCCAGCAGAACTGGTAAGAAACCAATCGGTAGAGAGATCTACAAATAATTCTGCAGTAATTACGAAAGTTGGCATTTTTTTTTCACAGCCGCTCATTTTATCTCTGATGAATTTAATCTTGATTTCCTACTAATTCTGATTTCAGAATATATTAGTTTATTACAGTGTTTTAAAACTCGAAATTAAATTCTATTCTCGTTTCAAAGACTCAAAATGCTAGATTTTGCAGGAAAGAGAGGAAGTAACTAACTCTGGTATAAAATCATATGGCAAGTTGTTCGCAGGTTTTGGGGCTAACGTTGTAACGGGTTCATTAGATGTACTTGAAGCACTTGGTAAGAAGACATTTGAAAAGCTAACTGTTCCGGAACAGGTTTGCGACTCTTTTATTTATACAGTGGCATGAAGTAATAGTGCACATATGGAAGAAATAAAGTGTGTCATTGTTTTGCTTCGAGTTTGATATGAGTTACATGTTATCGATTTCTCATTTCGGAATATTTAAAAATTAGGGTTCCGAAAAAAGACGATTTATTTTCGAACCGAAAAGAGGTCAAAATTTGTCCGAAGTTTTGCGAGAGCTACGTGAAAATCGAGCAGAAGAAGCGGCTCTTGAAACTAGTTATATTTCAAAGCGCGAACTGACTTTTATTGATTCCTTCGAGAAATTTAGTGGTATGCTTCATCTGGAAGGCCTCGAAATGCTTTCGAAAAATCATTTAAGAAAAATCCCACCACAAAGAAGAAGGTATTTTATCATTCTTAAATTTTTTTATTTTGAATTTCTGAGTTCCAATGCACTAATTTATATTCTGTGACTTTGGAAAGCTCCCTTTTATACTGGAAAGCATAGCTGAAGCGTTTATTGTCCAAAAACATACCAAAAGAAAAAAAGATGCTGGAAATCATATTAAAGAAGGTGGCTATTGAGTCACCTGAGTTTTCTTATTCTTTTCTGATTTTTGGATCCTGTAGTTTAAAATTCAGCCTTTCATTATTCAGGTTTTTAACCTTTCCAGTGAAGTAAACGGAATTTTTGCTGATGATTTGGCAAATACTTTGGAGGAATATCAGGAGAATCAACAGGAAGATTTCGTAGAAGATTTCAAAGAAATATTGTTATCCATCCCTCTACCTTACAACGTGAGGCTGGTTTCCATCTGTTTTATGTTGTTGGATGAAGGGATACTGAAATTATGTTCTGTACCAGTGTTGACATATTTCCAAGATGTTATGTTATCTTTTATATGTCGTTTGTTTTCATGGATGATCTTGGATTTGTCTTATGCGATTATTTTTTAGGATTCGGGTCTGATAGATTCCTACAGACGATGTAAAGAACGTTTGGAAAGATCGGATTCTAGCGACCAGATTTTCGAACTTTTCTTAGGTATTTTCAGCTTGTTAAGCTAAACTTGGTAATTCTTTTTCTTCAGAAATTACATCTTAATTTCAAATAAAAATATAAAAATCGAGGGCAGTTTTATACTCTCGCTCTATCTTATTTCGGAAATCTCATGTTATCATGTGTAGAATGTTTGGCTGATTTTACCGCTGAAAGTGTGCAGTCAGTTCATAAACTGGGACAGCTGCTATTAATTACGAATACAACAGTGAAGCAGGAACCATTTTCTGAATTCCATAGCCTAATTGGACGACAAATTTCATTTTTCAGTAATCAGTTTGCTCAACACATTAGCGCAGTTGATACACCTTCTGAAGAAGTTTGTTTCTTGCTTATAATGTTTTCCTGCGTATGCATGTCCATATGTTTGTAAATTAGGATTTCTCTCTCTCTCTCTCTCTCTACATATATATATATATATATGACTTGGCAAATACTTATATATATAGAGAGAAAACTTATTTGCTTGTGTTAATATGCGTTGGTTACATATTTTTACAATCTTCATTTCTTTTTATTCGGCATACATGTTTTTATTTACTTGTTTTTTCACTTTATTTTTAAAAGTGAAGCTGAGTGACTGAGGAGTTTTAGAATACCATGTTGAGTATAATTCAGAACAATTATATTCAATGTTTTAATTTTCAGCTAATAATGTTGGTTTGCTTGAACGAAGATTTAGTTCATGTTTCTCATATAATGCTAATTTTATTTATCTCTTGCAGATAGAAGAACTGGTCACAGCGGTTTTTCTAGCAGCGGGAGATTCATTCTCATATGTGCAGCAATCGTTTCGTCTTTTGCGGCCATTGTTAATTCTGTAGTACTATCTTTTCTTTCATGAATATAGTTTCTTGGTTTCTAATGCAATAAATTATTTGAAATGTTTTAGAACAGTAAAATTTTAGAATGCTGTGTTATTATGAATTTTTTTCGACCCTTATAGTGACAGTTCTTTTCATTTATATTTAATATAACAAAAATGCACTGAAGGTTAGTATACTTCCCTCGACTCACTTTTTCTCTTGACTTTAATCGTTATCTTACCATTAGTAGAAGTATTAGGTTTCGCTTTAATCAGAAGTAAAGGAAAGAAAGTGGATTTAGGCATTTATTTTTCTTAGATGTGTGCAGAATGTCCATTATAAGCTTTTGTTATTTTTGTGGAATTAAGCGTAGTGATCTTGTTTACTATTTGGGTTATATTTTGGAACGGCGAGATTACCGGGTGTCAAGATAACTGCATTCCATAGAATAAACACTGGTTTATATATGAGCGAGATTGTTCATCAAGGAATCAGATTATAAAATGGAAATTAAGGATGTGTTCTGCATTAATTTTCGTTTCATCTGATTCCACCTGCAAGGAAACTTTAACGGTCCAGAATGAAAAGATTTTTGAAGCGCGGGATTATGTTTGGGATCTTACAAAAGGTTCGTGATGTGGCAACGATGCAAAATTGCGAAGCGGTGGTGAATGCGTGTGGCAGGGCTGTTGCTGCTGTTCTTTCATCGAAACCAGAAAAGGTTCAAATTTATTTCGAAATACTTCCAAATTGAGCGATGTTGTTAAGTCATTACTGCAGGATACCGTACAGAACTATCGGACAGTTTAGTAAAGTGTGCGAGATGCTAATGTGTTTTTTATAGCCGCTATAACGAATAGTTGCTAGCTAAACGATATCCGTTGAATTAGGTTAAAAATTGTGGTAGTTTCTTTTTTGGATGGGACTGAACAACAATTATTCTATTCAGGTGGAAGCCATAGATGCTTCGAAGTTGAAAACCTTCGAAAAATGTGATAATTCTTACACGTTTGCACTATATGTAGATAAACCAAAGGGTGTGACATATTACGTTGTTTATTTGCCGAGATCGTTGAAGATTTGGCGCACGCAGGAACGTCACCAAGCAGAATTGCTAAGAAATCAGTTGAACAGTCTAAAACTACTTGTTAATATTCTAGGTAATATTTTTGAAAATTCAAAAGCGTATTGAACAAAATTATAAGGTGTTTCTTGGATATTTCCCTCATCTACTCATCTGAGTAGTAGCGTGATTAGTCAACAGCGAACGTCTGCTGGAATGATAGTATGTGGAGCAACCAGGAAAAGTTAAATTGGCTCGTAAGTTTCCCTCTTATACGATATAATTCATACGCAGTATTCACCAACTCTTTTTCAGAAAAAATAAGTTCTAAGTTTTTCGAGGCTGAGATGGAACAGTTGAGAGATTCGGTGATCAAAAATCCCAGTTTTAATGATATACATCATGCAGCTGCTTGTAATTTCCCGAGAGTTATCGCTGTATTGTGCAAGAATCGTCCAAGGTTCATAAATTTGATTCAACAGGGCATTAAAGAAAAATTTCTGAAGCGCGTACGTTTATTTATTAGGAACTGTTCAGAAATAACAGAATTTCAGATGTTTACTGGCAACGGTAACTATTGAAATGTAGTTGAATTGAGACATAACTAAAAGTAGTATCATAGTGAGGTGTATTTTGAAATTTTTTTAAGGATTCAAAGTTTTTAATTTATTAAATATCACAAAAGTTAGTTTATAGAAACAACTACTAGAAAGCGCTAGCTTTGTAATTTGTTCGATGGAAAGAGAAAAAAAGGACTAAATCCAGTAAACCAACATAAAATTTAGTGCTGAATAATTCCTTTCCTATCTTATGACGATTTATCATCTTTGGAATTAATAAGAAACACAGTTTTGCTCAGACCGTTCAAGATAAAATACTTCTTTGCAGCATTGTTAATGATGTATCCATTGATGGCTATTATCCACTGCACATAGCAGTAGAGAATGATGCTAAACAAGCTGTACAAGTACTACTGAGTTTAGGTGCTCATACTGCAAAACAGGATTGTCATTCTAGAAATGCTGTGCACTATGGTGCGGGGAATAATCCAGAAGTACTGAAGGTATGTTATTTGGTAGTGATTCTGTTGCTGTTCCTATGCATAATTTGTTGCATTCTTCTGTTGTAGTACACTAATAACATTGCTTTTTGTTATTTTCAGTTGTTAGCTGGGGCTCACGATTTCTTGGACGCTATTGATGTAATTGACAAAGATGGCTTGTCACCACTTTGTCATGCTATTCGTTCAGCCAAAGCAAAATGTGTGGAAGTGTTGTTGGATGCAAACTGTTCAACTGGTCCTTTCCCAGGTGGTTCTTTGTCGGCCATGGTTTCTATGGTTGCTTTATCACCAGATTTACCGAGGTATTTGTTCTGTCTTTTCTATCTACCCTATTTCTTTCTATTCTCTCTTTTGAGATTTACAGTATATTTCTTTAATACTCTTTCCTCAAAGCTAGTGGTTGTTAATATGGCCAGATTCCAATTTTCCAACAACTCAAAAAAATTAGTAATTTCTTTCAAGGATAGTCGATTTATTATTAATACGAGCTCCACAGTTTTTAGTCGAAGAAATCGATGGTTCATCGACTATACTCCATGAAAAATTGGAATCAAAAGTAGGCTTAATCATGTGTGTATTTGCAGCTTCATAAAAACATGATAATTATGATTATTTTTGATCATGTAATTCAATGTACCAAGTTGGTCTATGTTGAAGTAGAATATTTGTATCTAGTTTATATTTTCTGGTTTGGTACAATAGTTTTTGCCGCATTAATTCAAATTCATGAAAAGAACTTCATAACATGCAAATGAGAAAGCAAGAAATATAATGCACTCACGATAAAAAAAGAACTATTTATCTCATTTCTTTATTTCTCGGAAAGAAATGCGTTGCAGTTGTTACACCGTATTCTGGGAGATCTTAGGAATGTCGTTAATATAAATGTTCGAAATAATTTGGGTCAAACACCGCTATACTGTGCTGTAGCACGAAATGATTTGTCACAAAGTTTTACGCTGCTGACTTATGGTGCTGATTTAAATATCGCAAACTATGACGGGAACACCCCGTTACATATATCTTCCAAGGTATTCTTATTCTCAACAAGCTATGGATAATAATTATGCCGTTCTAGATTAGACATTAAAGAAATCATTTTGAGATTACTGAAATTACCGACTGTTAATCGGACAAATATTATTTCTCTGCAATAAGAATTCATATCTTCCCGAATTGTTTCAAATTTCCGGAACATTGTGATGGGTCTTGAAGCTATGTGTTCTTATTGTTAATATTCAAAAGAATGAGAATGTACTTACGAATAGATCAAAGGATAGAATATAAATGCTTTTATATTGGTATTCTTCGGAAATAACTTTTTCAGAATGGGGACGTTGATCTTGTGAAGCTGTTGTTATGTTTTGGAGCATCAGCAGAGCTGAAGAATGGTCGTGGAGAAACAGCTTTGGATGTTGGCAGAAACAAGTGCTTTTTTTTTTTTTTTTTTTTGAGATACATTTAGATTTGGAAACTTCTCTGAGGAGTGGAATTAAAAAAGTGACTGATTTTAATTCTGATTGCTGAATATCCCTTCGAAAATTTTGTTCAAGAACTGTGAATGTCTCGTTAATAATAACAGATCTTAAAATTTAGTACAAATTCAGCACAAAAATTATGGATTGTCTGAGACTCTTCGTTCACTCACCATCAATCGTTCTACCTCATTTAGGAGCTGTTTTGTAAACAGTTTAGTCTTGCTTAGCTATTTTTTTTTTTAATTTCAAGAAGTTTACGATTAATTTTGGCTTTTCATCTAGGTATTAAAAATTCAAGTGTTGCAAATCTCTTTAGTTTTGACCGTTTTGACTTCAGCTTTTAATGATTATTTTATAGGAAATGAATTTTAGTTCTTTCTGATCTTATGCAAGAGAAAGTATTAGTGGAACGACAGCAAATGACACCAGAAGAAAAGCAGCGTTTAGTCAATGTAATAAGTTTCGATGGTGGTGGAATAAGAGGCTTAATACTTTTGCAGGTATTTTTCGAATTAGTTCTTTCTGTTGATTTTATTTTTGCTGCTTTCTGTTGCTATAGGGGATTGTTTTCTCTTACCATCTGGTCCTTTAATTAAAGGAATAAGTAGTGAGCTGCTAAATATACTGCGTTGCCTTTCACAGAGCAGGTGTCTGTTTCAAAACATTGAAAAAAATCTTTCTTTCTGCAACGGCATTCAAGCATAAAATGTCTAAGAAGTCTTATAATAATGTTTATATACATCTTGCTTGTTTATTCAAATTGGAGGTGTGTTGAAGAAGGCATGAATAACTGAGCCTACGATAAAAAATAAGGAGTAAAATAAATTGAGTGGTTAAATATAGCAAATAAATGTAATAATCATAGAGAAAACCATTAATTATGTTAACCAACCTTTCCTTATCCCTTCGTTAATCGGCTTTTGCAGTGACCGCTCTCTTCGACAAAATTATTCTATTTCAGATATTGATGCATATTGAGAAATTGTTGGGTCATTCTGTTATGGAACATTTTCAGTGGTTATGCGGAACTAGTACTGGAGCAGTGATCGCACTGGGACTAGCAAAAGGCTTGTTAATTTCAAGTCCAAAATTTTTGACATTTATATTAATAAGTGTTATTTTCTCAACTTTTATATAAGTATACAAATTGTAAGTTCGCATAGTACTTTTTCTTCTCTTTCTCCTCCTGTTTAAAAAAAAAAAAAAGTCTCCTTGCAGGATATTCATTGAAGCATTGTCAAAATCTCTATCTACGCATAAAGGATGAACTATTTGTTGGTCGACGACCTTATTCAAACAAAATGATCGAAAGTTTTTTTTGTGAAATTTTTGGGGAGGAAACAGTAATGGCGCAGTTAAGATCCAAAAAGTATTCTTTAGTTTCATTTTTTAGAAAATTATTTTTTTTTGTATTTCCTTCTAAGTTTTACTGTACTTCTCTATTACTCAGCAATCATTTATAAGGTGCAATTTTTACTACTGATTTATTCGTGTAACACTGTCTTTAAATTTCAAGGATCAATCTGCCTATCTCATAGATCACTAAATGATGGACCGATAAAAGATGTGAAAGAACGTAATTTAATTGCATAAGCAAAGTAAAAAAATTAAGAAGGTTGACTTGTCTTTTGCTAATTTAGGAAAATCTGTAATAATGAAAAATTTATAAGACATGTTATGGTAGGGTTTTCTTTCAAATAACACTTTTGTTACAATTTATTTACTATCTTAAATGTTGTCATTTTAAATTGTAATACAAAAAATATTATTTATACATCATATTTGAGACAAATTATTTTCCTTTTCCTATTTTCAGGGTTATTGTAACGGCTTCATGTGTACAAAAAAGCCCACCGCTGTTAAAACTCTTTCGCAATTATACTTTACCAGTTAGCAAAGCTGAAAACAAAGCTTTGGGATTTGATGATCCTGGTGAGAATTTAGTATGGAAATGTGCACGATATTCCAGGTTAGCCATGGATGCTTAATCACTTCATATATTTATTAATCTATTGAAGTTATATATAAGAAATGTTTGAGGATATTTATGCGTAATAGATAACTGGATGTACATAATGGCTTGGATTTTTTTGTTGTAGGGTAAAGTCAGATCTTTCCGATGGTCAGCAAATATGAGTCATAATGCATCAGGTACTAAAAAAGCTAGAAATCTTCATGTTAGGCTTTATACTGGTCGAGATGATTTATTTAGTTGTCAACGCGTGGTTTTACTATATACATGTTTACTGAAAATAGTAGAAATTGCTAGAATTAAGTTGCTTTGTAAATTCAAGCATTATATGATGAAGGAAGGATTTCTGATGGGTTAAGTATATAGATTACAGTGGTCCTAGTGTCAACATAGCGTGATGGTTTTAGATTGTAATATATTTTAACTTATAGTGCGGCATGTTATAACGTTATAATATGAAAATGGCTATTTATTTGTTGAAAAATTCTTTTTTTATTTCAAAAAAGCGTATGAAATTTGTTAATCACTTCATTACTTAATATCACTTTATACACATAAAAGAGATATACTCTTTAATTATACCTTTGTTATCTTGTCGATTGCAATTAACGGACGTGAAAAAAGGAAGAGAGAATTGTTGACTCGAAAAATGAAAGCTTTATATTTTTTTGCAATGATTATATTTTGTAGCGCTGCTCCAACGTTCTTTACACCGAAAGATAATTTTATTGATGGCGGATTAATATCGAATAATCCAACACTTGATCTTATGTCAGACATACATATTTATAACGCTGCATGCATGAAAGTGGCAAGTTATGGTTGAAATTTTTTTAATTTCACATGTGGCATTTGTTAATAGATCATTTTATTGCTTGCTTATAAAATTATAGATCTTGGTGTTAAGTAATCACCAGAAATGTAGAAGCATTTCATTTGCAGTCATTTAACAAAAGGATCCGAAACATTAAGTAACTTGTCCAACGGATTGGTGTCTTCATTTAAAATGATTCTCCTCCATATCTCCGGTGAAAATGTTTAATTTCAGAAAAAAGAAACTGTACATATTGGTTGCATTGTATCATTGGGAACTGGTCGAGCGCCTCCTGAAGAGTTAGAAAGTATGAGATGGAATTTTAGTCTGCCTGGAGTCTTGTTGAAGGCGCATTTATGTTTCAGGATTTGATGAGTTTGAAAAATCTTCTTATAGGACAGGTCGGTTTATTCACATCTTTTCTGGATTTTTGGCATTTTGACTAAGTTCCACCAAGTTTTCTACGATTTTTTACACAATTTCTTTGTAAAAATAAGTTTTTATTATCTCTTAAAAGGCCAAAATTCTTTCATCTCTTCATTCTTTTTCTTCAAGCATGACATGAATTACTCGACTTATAAATTTTCTTATAGGGCACATTACTCGTTTATCTGGGTATTTCTAAGTCAATTTACTTCAAATTTCGCAATCCAGTTGTAGTGCAGTCTGAGATGGACCTGAAGAATATTTTCATACTTCTTTCTCTTTGCTTATTACATTACAGCATTCATAACAGTTCGGATGCAGAAGAGAACGATATTGTTCAGAATTGATTGAATTAATTTGCTTGTACTCTGATGCAATTAACTCGTAAAAAAATGACGTATTTACATCGCTACTTTATCATTAATATTAAGCCCATACTCTTTGATGAAATCTAGAACTTCCCGGCAATTTTTATAAGTTTTCAGAGCTCTAAGTCTTCGTAACGTCCTGTACACGAGCACAAACATTATGAAGTCTGAGATTATTTACCAAGCAGAACTGTTGTCCTGTTTGAAGTTCCAGTTATATACCCAAGTCTGATCCCGGCACCCTTCGATGTCGGAACGTCCCAAAAATAGTAAACTACGGAGAGCGCTCCGTTACCATTCACATCTGTCATATGCATCTAGACTATCTCATGATATTGTGTGGGTTGCTCATGGAGGTTCAAAGGTCAATCATAAGATGTAATGAACATTAAATGAAAAAAGAGTAGATAAGAAGAGAAAAGCTCACCATAATGATAGACAACAATCTATCGAGTGCAAAGTTCTAACCAGTATCATTCAGCTGTCATCTTACGGTATAACTAGTACTGAATTTATATTACAGATTACAGCTTCCAATGGACCATGTGTGACACGTGCACGTTCTTGGGCTCATGATCAATGTATCCCATTTTTTCGCTTTTCGCCATCTCTTTCGTCACATGTAGAACTCGATGAAACGAATGATCAAGTAATCGTTGGCTTCTTATGGGACACGGAGGTACGTAAACGTATAATTTTTTTTGTACATTTATCATTTGTAATTTGTGCATTTATCAGACAGAATTCATTAAGAGTATTAATAGTATGAACTGTCTTGAAAACGCTGTAACTGGGTTAACACAAAGCATAATGTCCTATCTGGCATTTTCGGCACCAGAAAATGAAAAGTCCTGTAGCTTAAGCTTTTTATGTGATTTCGAATATCATTGAAACATGCATCATCTGAATAGAGTTGTCTCAAGTCCCTGGCTCTCTTATCCTGAAATGGCTAATTTTTGTTGCTTTAATATTTTAAAAATTGGAACTAGACTCAGTAGCACTTAAATCATGTTTATAAAGTAGGATTCATTATAATCGCATACATTACTGCTTATTTACTTCCGTTTAACAATCAATATTTCTTAGAAATATTTGCGCACCGATGGAAGACAAGACATGGAAATCCTAGCAGAGTATCTCAGATCATCCTAAAGCTTTACCTCATTTTATTGTATGGAAGTCTGCACATATAAGCTTCATGTTTTCAACAGTTTTATTTTAATAGTTTGTAAAGATTACAGCATGTGCTCGATAGTTTGCTTCCTTTGAACAAGCAATTATAAGAAATATTTCAAAATACTGAAAAAGTTTGTGCGTTCGAGTGGTTTGAGGCCAGTGCAAAAAGAAAAGTCTTTGCTCATTGAAAAGACGAACCCACGTGAAATTTGAAAGCAAGTAGTGGCACTACTTGCTTTCAAATTTGGAATTCTATTCTATTCCACTACTTATGTTTTTTAATAAATTCTAATATTGTCACCAGCGTGGTAAATTGCCGTCCTCTTGAAAGATGTAAATATCATGAAGAATTGATTGTAGCATTAAAAAAATAGGCCCGGTCATACATACATACAAAATAGGCTGTAAACATTATGAAAACTTGATTATTAACACTGCAAATTGACAAAAATGATTTACAAGATTATAAATATAATGCAAACTAACAAATATCACATAATTCATCAATCTGACTGGCTGTAAAAACAGTGTAAGACATTATGTACCACTGTTAGATGTGGAGAGGATTGTCTGAGTTATTATCGTAATCAATCATATAATTAGTAGACGCCATAGATCAACTGCTGCTGTTATTGTTTGCACTCGTAGATGATCTGCGTTACGACTAAGCTGTATCTCATATGAATATTCGTATGATTTTTTATTTGCGAAATTCACTACAACTAGTTCTCTCCGTTTGGAAAACAAGATAGGGCTTTCTTGCAAACAAGCTCATCTCCTTGTTCTGATAGGGAGTGTCGAATATTTTAATTAATATTTTTAAAAATTTTCTCTGAACTATTAAGGACGATTATACCTACTTTTCCTAAAGGAAAAATATTATTTATCACAGTGGAAATAAATCAATATTTTGCGAGATCAAAAAAAAAAAAAAATGACTGAAAATTCCAAATGAAATCAGAAAAGCAGCAAGTAAGCTACAGGTTAGTAGCAAGACGAATTGTCAGTGCCTTGGGATTCCTTAGTATTATACTATGTCATTGAGTTAGGACAATACTAAATAAGTTGAAAAGTTAAAACTGAGAAACCAGATAAACATAAGTGAAGAACAAAATTATAAATGCATATTGTAAACACAAGTAAAAATCGGAAAGCTATTACATATCTTTCGAATAAGACGAAAATAAATTTCGAGCAACATCTGCAGTTAACTGATTTGGAAAACAAAGCAACGGGACAATGAAGTTCACCGCCCAATAATGACCAAATATCATCCTTAACCTGGAAAGAGAAGTATAGCGGTAGCATTTACAATCCTTTTGTTTTCCATCTCCAAATTCTTGGAAAACTTCACTCCAGGCTGATCCAAGTTCTACTTATAAAACTTGAATTTTGACATTCCGACATCCTTTTTCTCACACACTATTGCGAAACTGAATGTTTCTTTTTTCTCTGTAAAGTGACACCAAAAACTGCCCTACAGCCTTTTGATACTGGCCTTCACAATAGATCTCACGATATCGTGTGGGTTGCTTCGTGGAAGTTCAAAGGTCAACCGGAGGAAAAAACGAAAATTGAAGGAAGACTAGATAAAAAAAAGCTTATCATAATGATAGAAGACAGACAACAATCTTCCGAGTGCGAATTTCTAAATAATTGTCATCAATCTATCACCTCAGAGTATAACTAGTACTGAATTTATGTTACAAATTAAATTTCATGCGTGTTCATGGGCTCATAATTTTGGCGTTTCGTCATCTCCAAAATTCATTGATGAAACGAGTAATCAAGTAATCGTTGGCTTCCTGTGTACTGTATTGTATAAACTGTACGTAAACATGCAATTTATATACTTATTAGAGAGAATTTATTAATTTGAACTGTTTTGAGAACGCCATGATTGGATCAACATAGGGAACAGAAAATAAAGGTATAACAGTGAGTGTCGACTTTATGATGAAAGCTTTAAGAAACTTCAAGCGAATCAATAATAGAAATGCTACACGTTGGTCGATAAGTAGTGCAATTTGAGACTAGATTACCATAAAGGAATAAATAAAATAATAGAGTATTTAACAATAAAAAGAAAACGATAATAACGACAACAAGAACTACTTTTGTTAGCTTCATACCTTTCTGAATAAGTTTCACCATCACCATGCAATTCAATTTTTCTGCTTAATGTGTGATAATCGTACATCGTATAACCATTTAATGTATAAAACATCTAAAATCATACAAACTTATTAAGCAAGTTTTTTTCTAAATAAAATTTTAGAAATGGCTTTGAATCAATTGAAATAACAACGATTTGACGACAATGATAAAGTGGTATTCAAAAAATCAAGATTTCATTCCGCAGCATACTTGTATATCTCAAACAAGCACAATAATGAGAAAAATCAAATCAAAAACACAGGAGCTGGAAAATTAAACTTCACCTGTGAACCAAAAAAGATAAGCGCAACAACGGAGATGGCCATGCATATGCTGAATAAAACACAAATAGCTGTGTTGGTAAATATTTCATAGGAAATAATCCACCGAAGGACAGCAACCGGTGCCAGAAGCTTTAACCAACCAAATGGGTAAATATTAAAATCCATGTACCGCAGCAAATACATCAGATTGTAAAATGAACCTACCGCAGCACCAATACTTGCCCATAGGACAAAAACGATGAAAAAACGCTAAAACTGCTTTATTAAGAACAATCAAATCAAAATATGAAAAGTGACAGGAAATAAAATGAGTAGTTCATAATGACAGGAAATAAAATGAGTAGTTGATAATAGTAATAATAATGGTCGCTGACAATAAAGTCCAGTCAGTAATGATAATAGCTTTTTGAATATGTTACTCTATTAATTTTGTAAACTTATAAAATTAATGCATTTCTGCTTGAGTAATTGAGCGTATTACACAAACCGTTTTCCACGGAGTACATGCAACAATGACTAAAATAGATTTATAAAATGATAAACAAAATGAGCAACACCATTCCATACTTTTTAATTTTCAACATCTTTCATCTTAAGTGTCTGCAAAATTTCTTTTCCATTAGCTAACCTGATTAGCAATTCCAACACAAGCACCCGTTACGAAGCAATGATGATCTTTTCTCAGAATGCACATATTACAGAGTTTGCAGTGATGACTCCTTAGTGGTGCTATTCGATTACATTCTAAACAGTATTTACCAGCACCTTTCACGGTTGTCAAAACTGCAACGCCTTGCAACCAACGCTGTGGATCATTACGCCTAAAATGATGATTATATTTGCGAAATCCAATCAGCTCATTTGACAGAATTAAGAAAATTAGTCTTAATTTTACGAACTAAATTTATAAAGTAATTCTGTGGAACTGATTCAATTATGAGTACCACCACTTCATTCTGTCGCATGAATAGTACTACCGAGACAAACTACAAATCGCGATTCTTATACACTACACAATTCTGTAACATGTTTTTCTACCGATACCGAAGCTTAAGTTCAATTTCATTAATGTTGGATCTGAAGCTTAAGTTCAATGCTGTTAATGTTAGAACCTAAATAATGAATACCTGCTATAAATGATGAATAGAAGAAAATTGACGAGCAATTCCAAAATGATGACAATACCAAAACAATTTGCCTGAGCACACTGATCAGGCTGATAAGTTGCTGGACATGTATAGAACAATATTAGAAAGTAGATACCAAAGATTAATAATAGCGTATAAACAACACCAGCAATATTGGCACATTCATACACTCCCCATGTCTTTAGCCGCATATCGTCTTGGAAATTCGATTCCTAATATTTAAATATTGGACGATTCATTTACACCTCATTATTTCGAAAAGAAGGTACCCTACATATGATAATATACAACACCACTATCATTTAAGGAATTGAAGCGAGATATATTACCTGGAGCAAATTAGTTCCCCATCCCTGCCTCACCACTATCATGTTTCATTTCATCATATATAAAAGCATGACTGCTGACAGTAACCAACCTTACCTCAGGTCTTTGCCGCTCTCAGATCTTTAAAATTAAAAGGTCCAAGTTATACTCTAACTCCCCAATCCTGTCGTTTCGATTTACCTTCTACAAAAATTGCAGGTTATCCAAAATGCTCCATATTTTTCAAGTCGCTCGTCTGTTCCTATTGAATGTCTCGAATCTTCCAAAGGATCTATTAACTGACCTTATGCACAAACTCCCGACAAAACAATAACAGACAGTTTGTACTGGTTGTCGAGATTACCAAGTGCCATGATCCGAAACCTAGAAACTTTATCAAGCAATCCCAATATCCGAGTCATCTCTCAATTCGGCTTTTCCTCTGGTACCGCTCACAACTAAAACACCACTGAGCTACAAGTTCCATCAGATAAAGCACAACCTATAAGCACTCTCTGAAGCTTTGCAGCTTAAAACGTCAAAAACTTAACAGGTTATCAGCAAGTGAACACATTTGAAATTTATTCCAACTGTAATAAATGTTAAATTTAACCCAAGGTTCTAATCACTAAAATTATACCCCAACTCAACTATACTTTCAATCTACAGTATCCTATGTTTCAAATACATCATATATATATCACAACAATAAGATCATTTGTACATTGCTTTTAAAGTTTATGGAGACCATGTATAACAGCACTCATAAATACACTATATTATTGAATCACCAAAAAACTAAATATTTTTCAACTTAATAAAGTAATAAGGAAATTAACAGGTTAGAAAGTTAGAAAATATTTGTCAACTACGTCCATAAACACAACTCGTCCAAGTAAAAATTAAAAGATAAAAGAGATATATTTTTTTTTAGTTTTTCCTTTTCAAAACAAGAAACATACAAAATATTTACCAAAAAGTACCAAAGATGCAATAATATAGTAAGTACCCGAGTATCCGAGCGTAACATATAGAAAAAAATTACAATGGATGTATATCTTTCTACGCCATGCTGAGTATTGCATCTTTTCAGTGTAATCTATTCTTAATAGTGATAACAACAAAATGGCAGTGGACAAAGAAAGCACGAAAAAAATTTTCCTGGTGATTTTGTCACAAAGACTAAAAATGGATCAAATAACGTAGTATTCAAACATGTTTAATCTCATTTATACGACTGATTTGAATTACAACAGCGAAAAAAATCTTAGATATGACAATTCAATAAATACATCTATAAAACATACGACAAAAAAAAATACGAAGACATAATGACGCTCAAATTTCATCACATGTGACCTCGTGTATAAGTAAGCCCTATCGATAGCCAAATCAACTAGTAACTTAGCAAGAAAGTTTGACCTAAGTTTTGTTTGGAAAACTGTTGCATCGCCATCCGCAGATGCATCACATCGGATTTATTTATAAAATACTCAATGATCAACCTCCAAAAAGCTGAATGGCACTTGCAGTAGTATTTGGCATAACAATCCCAACAGTATGTTAAACAGCATAAATCAACTTGTTATTTCATGACTAATTATCTACCAAATGTATCTCCAAACAATTTCTAGTGCTTTCGTTTTTTGTAAATCTGACTTATAGAATACGTGAATAATTATCCGGACAAATACATACAGTGCCAAGTCACTTCTAAATTTAACATTTTTCGAAAGAAGCAAAAGATTTCATTCCTTTAAGCATTTATTTTTGTCATCGCCAGTTCAATTGAATCGAAATTAAATGATAATAAAATTGTATGATAAGAATTATTTGGAAACCCTAAAATACAATGAACACGATAATATATTCTACCTTTTTTAATCTGAATGAATGATTGTCCTTTTTTCCCGCCACTTTAACCAACTTCTGGCATTATCAGATGCGAATTTAATTGCTAAGGTTTGCTGAAGTAACGCATCAGCATCTCGGTAATTTTGGCTGACGTCCTTTCTGCAACCCGTAAGGGTGAATCACCAGAATTCGATACTGCTGCAGCATCAATACCTGAAAACACTATTCTTATATAAGTGAGAATTAACAAATCATTTTATTGAATTAACCTATTTAATTTAATTTGACTCTATTTTCACAGGTAACGATAGGAGATTTTTTTTAATCCCAATTATTGCATAATGCCATAACAAATGCGGATACTTTTTCCTAAAAATTTATTACTCATTTTCTTTACATATAAAGCTAAAATGCACAGTAATATCCTATCATATTATACTCGTCATCTTAGATATACACAAAAGTCTTTTATAATTGAATTATTTCTCATTTCTTATGAAATTTCCATTATACTTTGTACAAGGAATGCATATTCATTTGTGTTTCTTGTGTGTGTGTGTGCATATCAATTATGAATGCAGAATGCATAATGAAAGTTTTCTGTTCCAGACACCAAGCAAAAATCCCAAAATTAACTTATACAGCATAACAGGAAATAAAACCTGGTGCTTCAAGAAGATAGCGAACTGTTGTAAGAACACGATCTTCTGATTGATTCGACGTGATCGCAAGATGTAATGGTGTAAGATTGCCGTGCGAACGACTGTTAACATCAACGCCATGACGAAGCAACAACGCTACAACTTCACACATCGACCACGTTGCTGCGCAATGTAACACCGTCCAACCATCATTCGTATTCCATTCCGGATTAGCTCCAATCGATAGTAAGTATCCGACAATGTCAGTATGTCCACTGTAAGCAGCTCGATGCAATGCCGTATACCCGTCCACATCGCGAGCCTATTAAAGAAATTAGCACTTCTATCGTGCAATCTATATATAGAACTAGCAAACGTTAAAATTTAATGATAAAAATAAGTAATTTTTTTATTTATACTTGTTACTTTTTTTTTCATCCCACTACAGATGAGTGGAACAAAGGCCAGAAAGATATCTGGTCACGGATAACACTTTTTCTCATAATTTCTTTTAAAATCTTGCATAAATTAGCAGTGGTGATACTATACTGTTGTTGGAATGAAAAGTTTCAATTCTCATCTCACTCCTTCTTGCCTCGCTTCAACTCACAAATTCTTTTCAACAATAACAGAGTGCCAAAATTTATAGTGTGTGGTACTTCCCAATTAGTTCTAGTGGTAGAGCCACTATTCATCTATCAAAGTGCATTTTAATCTTAATTTCTTTTCACAAAACTAGAGAAACTCGAACCGATAGCAAAGACGGATTATTTTCGATCAAATCTTTAAGCGATTCCAAATTACCATCTTCAGCTGCAGTCAATACTTGCTCTTTTGGATCATTCATATCCTTAGCCAAGATGCCATCATCATCGTCATCGTCCCAACGAGATGGAAGTTTTCGTTTATTATCGCGTATCTTTGCCATTAGCTTTGACTGCCTTGTAAACTGCAAAGATGAGACTGCAGCTACAAAGATTTCGTTTTATTCCACTGCATCAGATAAAAAAAAAAGCGCACCAACTATGTATCACAAGATGTTCCAATTACTTCGAAACTGCTTTAGAAACCAAAATCAGGATTATCTATTTGAATTTCTATCCTATGTGACTATTCATAAAAACTGACAAAGGGCTGTGCAATATTGCAGAGTACAAATTAACTTTGAAACGATCTTGCTGAATCCAGTCATACGTTTATACAATAAAGTTCAAATGATACATACATCAATGACAGATGGAATAGTATCCTCCATTTCAGCGGCATTATTACCATCAAAATCTTCGAAACTTTGGCAAAGTGTTGACGAAGTGGCGGTCGACATGGATGATCCCGGTCGGTTATGCTCATAATCAGTTGTAACTGTACTGGAATGGATTTCCATCGGTTCCTCATTTTCCGAATCGACCATCATACACGACCACCTTCCTTTCCTGATTTGCTCCTTTTAAATTCGACTCATCCTGAAAGCTTTATTTTGTTATACGTAACTTACCCACGCCACACCTGAAACCACCGCTTACCATCCACTGTCCAGGTATGACACTAATTTATCTTTCAGAAACAAATTTTGACGGTTACACGATATGAAAAAATATTTGGACCATTTGCATAAGGATGATTTGATAAAGTTGAATCAAAAGATGATAAAGACTAAGTTAATTATTTCAGGTTTCAGCTTCCAAGCATTAACTTTTTCATGTCACGTGGAAGAGAGTGAATGAGTGTCACTACTCACTTACTCTGTCTTTTGCATTAATTACCCATCTATAGTTGACTCTTTACTGCAAATTTTATTTGTAAGAATTCCACTTATTTCTCATTTTTGCCATATTTATTTCAAAACAGTATACTATAAAATTTTATATCAAACATTTTACTAGTCTTTCGGAACATCTGAATCTCCATGAGCAGCTGCTAAATATTGATGGTATTGCTATAGACGTATGAAGATTTCCTAGTAGACTAAATTGTTCTCACATTAGGTATTTGCAAAGGTCAGAATCAGGAGATCTTAGGATTCTATGAAATGTTTGTTAAGCCCAGGTAAATAGGCGTCATATGACATCAGAATATTCGTCAAGTAACGGGTTATCTCTAATTAATGTGTGTAAATGTATTCTACCCGAAAATAGCCCATATAATTTACATTACTGATCAACTATCTACCAATACATAAGATTCTGTTAGCATTTTCATTTTACCGTCTTCATTGCGAGATAACACTCACACTAATTTCTGCATACAGAAACGCATTAGGACTTATTTTCAACTCTGTTTTATCTTCTACGCGCAAAACTCCACATTTATTCATTTGCAATTGCAAAGGTCATTAATACTAATTATTTATATTTAATTATATATTAATATACGTATTAAATGCATCAACCGGCACTGTTGATCTTACTGGAAATCATTCTTTAAAAACACATGAGTGCACGTGAGCATTTTCGGAAAGCATATATAATATATAGCATATATAATATATATTATATAAAATATATTCATTCATATAATAAATTTTAAAATTCTACTTTTTATTTTTGGGGTCATATTTCCATTCGTATTTGGATGTTTTCTTTCTATATTAATCTGCATGGGTAAGAACAGATACGCGGGGTGGACAAACTTTTGTTTATACGGCAGAAATGTATGCGATAACATTTTACTGTCATAAAATTAAATCATCAAGTATATGGCTAAGGCTTAATTCGATGCCATCAAACCTTGTTGTTGAATTGCTGTTGATACACTGTCAAGGCATTTTCCAGAAACTGCTTAATTGCCTCCCAGTCCTTGGCTCTCTTTGATGACATACTTTTTGGTTTATTGTCACGTTGTTGGTGTTGATTTGAATCTCAGATTCGATCCAGATATACGTCATTCCGTAATAAAAAAGCTGCGTCTGCTAACGAAATTGTGAACATATCCGGGGAGGCATCCACAACTGGATATGACATCGGTTCAGTGATGGAATGATGCCGTCCGTATCGAATTGTACGCTTTATTGTACTTTTACGCTCGTGTAATGCGCTGAAATTATACATGTGAAAAAGAAGCTGAAATGTCAAATTTAGTAATATTTTTCAGCTTCCAATTGATTTTTTCTCAAAAATCAACCAACAACATTATTTTTTCAAAAACTGCCATACTTCAACTTAAAATATCCCCCAAAATTCTTCTCCGTTTAAATTCTCTTTTACAAAATTCTGTCCTTTCAATCCACAAAATGTATGACCTCTGAACTTGTTCTGCTTCAGTCTTTCCTTTTCGATTGATTTATTATTACAATTAAATTTATTATTATTATTATAACTAAAAGCACACTTGTTGGAACTACCGGCATCACTAATCGATGCCATGTTTTCTGCAGCAAATGGATCGATACATTGACATAGAAATGAAGTGCATAAGGAGGGGAACATCAAGCGAACACATCCACCACGTACAGTACTCGCGCAACAGTCGCCACCATCCCAGTCACAATAACCGCGATTGTTTTGAAAATCACACCAACCATCATCCATGAATTCCTATTATAGGAACGATGCTAGTTGCAACCGCTAACAAAAAAAAAAAGAACTTTTTTCCGGGACTTTCACAGTCCAAGAAAGTATATTTGACTCTGTCTACTGGTTCATTATCTGCGTGTCACAAGGCATAACTCGTCCATACAGTAGGTAAAACCAACTAACATCAAAAAAAAAAAATGCGCATCTTTACCGTTAGATTGCATTTTCATTCAATCGACTGCAGAAGTACGCAATACTAATCTATATTTTCCTTTGATGGTTCAAGTTTCAGCGATTAAATAGAATCAGTTAAGGCTTAATGCATTTTGCTAATAATAAATTATGAAAAGTTCTAAAAGATGAATTTCCAAGCTAAGCATATTGTGTTTAGATGAAGAAGACGTACCCTATTACAAGAACGTACACAACTCAAAGCATCCACTTGAGGATAAAATGTTGATGAAATGGTGCATGAAATACTGTACACCGTACGAAGTACCAATAAGTTTTCACCACTTGGTAAAGTTTGTGTTTCCTCCAATACTGCATCATAACCTTGCTTACGACATTGTACCACACACACAGCACCTGAAAGTTCAATTATATTTGCAAGCATTTTAAAAGGCCATTCCGCTTAGCATATTGCAATTAAACGCTTTACAAAAATACTGTGCAAGAAAAAATACTGCCTATAAGCCGAATACAGTTCTAGAAATCGAAGTTATGATGCCGAGCGTCAAATTTTCTTACTTAAATTGTCTGCTGATACTTGACTTAATAAAACGAAATCAGAAAATGATGCAATTTCTACGGAAGAGAAGTTTATTATATATTCGAAACTACTGAGATTTGTGCGCTAGAGTTCTTTTACCGGGATACAATCTTCTCGGACATGTGAACTGGATATTCCGCATACTCGGTGGCGAGAGACAGGCTGTTTATGGCGATGAACGCTGAAAGCGATTTGACCAGGTACCATCCTTCTTGCACAACGAATACTTGTGCTACAAAACAGAACCGCAATAAGTAGATGATATTTTAGAGTTTCTATGAATTGAAAATGTACTTCGATTCACAAATAACATTTTGATGCCATCAGTTATGCTATCAGCAATCTTGGCTAGCCTCAGAGAATATGAAAAGCATAAATCAGGGAATAAGAAAAAATTAACTTGAGCTATTCCAGGACACTGGAACCGATAACTGGGACCAATCTCGAAACCGTTTGTACAGTTGTACGACCCGATATATACAATTTTTGGTGAGGGACATGTAACTGGTATGCAGGATGGACCAATCCAAACACCGTCGTCCGAACAGACCAAACGAATCCTGTAGTTTATTTTTTATTTTTTTTTTGGGAGCAACTTTATTTCGGAAGACTAACAAGGATATAACTATCAAATATTCAATTTTTTAAAAAAAAAAAAAAAACTCCCTGTCAACTGATGAAATTCATCTTATTACCTTTCATTAGTGTCACTTCAAATTCTCAACTTACTTTAAACTACTCCATATAACGAAGATATATGGGTGGTATCAATAAAAAGTAAAAATGATTCCATATCAATTACAAAGAGATGCTAACAATATATGGTGACAAGAAAACTCCGTAAAAAATTCTGATTCAAGAATTACTTAGTATGCAATGTTTGCATTTGTGATGCACGGTATTGTCGAAAGCAATTCAGTCTGCATACGATGGATACTGGGTAGGAAGTCTGCATATCATAAATACGTTTCACTTTACAGTTAATTGAATCATATGAAATATTAAGCGCCAATAACCCTTCTTGTGAACAAACAATCTAGAATCCACGAGATCTCATTTGTGAGACTGCGAAAACTACATGGAACAGTAGCGAATGCGCAAACTGAATGGAAAAATTCCTTTAACAGTTTTCTGATTTCAGTATCATCGAATGGCACGTTGAATTAAATAATTAGATGAATGTACAATTTTATATACCTGGCAAAATGCTTTCGGCAGTGTCCATAAACCATTTTCTTCGCAAATGATATAATTTATTTGTCCTGTAAAAGCATACACTCAGAAATTTCTTTCATAGAAAATATCGATGGTTTTGAAAAAAAAAAAAAAAAAACTCCAGTTAATTAATGAACTAGAGTAGCAAGCAGATTTTGCTAGCAAATTAAATTCTAAAAGTTAAAAAATCTATTAATTCAAAACTTTATGAAATTTTCTCTGAACACCATAATGAGACTAAAAGAATTGTTGAAGAGCGCAAAATGGAACATGCACTTCCAGAAAGTCTTAATAGAATGGCAAAAAGGTATGGTAAAAGCGGAATAGATTCAATACAATCTAGTTTATCAAGAAGCAATTTAGTTAGTTTTGTAATTTTCTTCTTTCATTCGAGAACTTCATAATTTTCAGAAACTTTCGCTGATTAAATTTATTGTTAAAGGAATGATGAACTTCCTACAATTCCTTAACATTCTGAAGTAATACCAATCATTATTGCATTATTCCTACAGCGAAATATACAGCGATCACGATAATTTGTTCCATTTGGACAATTAACGTCAGCTTGCTCAATTTTCGGAAGTACATATTGTGTTGTTTGGCAAGCCAAATTCATATTTCCGATCCAGTGACTGTTCAAACATTGTACTGTCACCGTTTTTTGCGAATTTTCGAACATAAATCCGGCTTCGCATGTATACGTACACATTGTGCCGTGACAATGATGATGAAAAGACAAACAAAATAAGTTAACTATGATCAAGAAACTAATTAAAAATAATGAATAAAATGTCGGAAAAAAAATTGAAATTATTGCATTTTAGTTATTGGCAATACTTGAAAGGATTAAGAACACAAAATAAAATCTAACCCATGATCTTGGGATATTTAATGGAGTACGTGAACCAATACTTAATGACCTGCAATCTTTTGCAGCACAAGAAGCACTCACCGGATCGAAGTACTTGTTTTCAACTGCAAGGAAACAACAATCTGTTTGCATCAAACAGTCGATGATAATTAAAGTTCCGAATATTGATGCCGTAAATTTAGAAATACTCTTCGTTCTTCGTCTCTCTTCTTTTGTCTGCCAGCGAAAAAGGACCAAAACTGATGAACGGACGAACAATCTCTTTCCGCCAAGAGATTCTCTACAAACTATTTATGTCTACCTGCACAATTTTGAAGAGCCAACAAGTTGAACATCTTGGATGATTGCAGAATGACTGCAGTGACAATAATTCGAGATGCATTTGACACATGAAGATGGATGGCTTTGACGTTTGACAGTCGGTCAACAAGTGTATACGGTATTGCAATCTCCAAAGGATTCTGAGCACACGACAGAATTCCTTGTTCTGAACAAAGCATCTATGCAAAATGAGAAAAAATTTATTAAGTGACATTTTTTTTAAACAAAGACTGGAAAGTCCTGAAAGCTTAAAAGATAATGAATACTAATGGTTTAATCCTCTAACAACCCCAATCTGCGATATGCACCATTTATTTACTAATTAGAACTTCTCGAGATTTTGATTTAAACATGCGGTAAAAAGATACTATAATGGTAATGCACCTTCCATACTTATCGTCGTTTTGTTGGCATATTGCAAATTGAATCCAATAATGGACAACACTGGCTTTGATTCAGTTGACAGAACAATCTCAAAACCTGTCAGAATGCTGATTGGAAAGATTTCACCTGTGAATGAAGCATGCAGTGAAATTTCACCCGCTTCTGCAAGCTGAGAACATGTAACCCAACCAGATGACCGCCCTGGAAACAGTGGGAAATAGCAAAAAGCAGGGAACATTCAAAGTACGTTGGATTACACTGATTTCAGTGCCGGTTAACCAGGGTGAACGAGTAGAGCAAGCTGACAACCTTTAGCATTTTGATCTTACTCATAACTAAGTGTTTCTGAATAGCTAATATAATATATCAATTTGTTTTCCTTCTAAATCGAAAATTGCGAACGCAATATTTAAAATATTGCTAAAAAATATAGCTAGTCATTACTATCCGATCGATGGAATCGTAAAGATTGGCATTCTCATAGCAATCATTTTTAAAATAAGTGAAGGAAACAATCCTTACTGTAGTTAAGGTAGCACAGGAAAGGAACTGCAACGAGCAGTTCTTCTGCAGTATAGTGGAATATGCATAGATCGATGCTGGATAGTACTGTGAATGAAGTGTTGAAGCAGTGATATTATTGCAATCTTTATTATAACCATCCCATTCAAACGGCTCACATTCGCCGTCTCCTTCGTAAATATAACACACACTCGAGGACACTGGAAGAACAACCAAAAAATGGTCAATCACTAGGATCAATCGAATTATCTGTCAATTTTCAATTAGAAAATCTTTTGAGTTCATGCTATTTCTGAACTATTATGGACAAAGCTATCAGTTCGACTTCCCTAGTTTATTCATTTTAATAATGTGTCATATTTTTGCAAACCGATCAGATAATCATTTTCATTTCTGTGAGAATAAAGTAGTAGTAATGATTAAAATTTCTATCTGTTCCAATTTTATATGCAATCATGTTTTGTTGGATAAATTTTACCTTCTCCAGCAATTACATGACAATTATTTTACATTTTCTTATTTTTTCCTTAAATCTCCTATTTTTTTTTACTTCTAATCAATTAAATTTAAATTTGTAGACTACGAGATTTTTTTCCAAAAAAAAAAAAAAAAAACGATACATTTGTTATCCTTAACACAGTGAAATTTCTCCTCAGCGAGACAATTCTGCGAACAACCATCGCCATCATTTAAATTTCTATCGTCACATTGCTCATCCTTACTCCGTTTGCCATCTCCACACACACTCATATCATAAGAGTAAATGGTACTTGGTGAATGCAACCCCTCAATTCCTGCACTTTCTACTGCTACTGAAGCAAACCATATGGAAAGCTTTTCCAGTTGTGTTTCAACATCTGGCTTTAATTTCAATGTGCATTTACCGGTTCCATCATCGCAATCTTGTACATCCGGAAGCCAAGCTTTCGTTGATGCGGTACAAACTTCAGAATCCGGCACTCCTTGGCATTTGTTTTCAGTTTTTTCATCATTTTACGCTATTATCAGTTTTATGAAAAGATCATTAATATTGCTCATCGTATCAGTCGACGTATTTGATTCAAAAATTAGTATTATTAACCTATATATTATGTGCATTCTGTATTTACTCAAAAAGTAAATGCGGTAAATTTTTTTGTGAGTGGAAAGGAACGGATTATTTCATTAATCCATCTTTTCACCAGCTTGATAGGATTTGGTATTTACTGAAGAATGCGATGCATTTTTTACCTAAATAAAGGGAACAGATTACATAGCATTTTACTAGTTTTAGAATAATAAATCCCACAGCTTGAAAAACGTCGAATTAGATTAGATGAAGTCCCATCCATTTCTCTATTTCATTAATCGTTTCTCTGTCAATGGAAGTCGGACTAGACATGACAGGGAAAATGTCTTATGAGTGTATTTCAGCTTCATCTGTCCCTTACGTATTACACGTCAACAGAAATGTTGTATAAGACATAAATCCCACAACTCCTAACAATTTCATTCACCACAATGCGATGGACTGGACGGCTGAACCCCAAAATGTGTTCGTAACGAGAAAATGCAGTGGGGCCGCTAAATGTTATAAGTGTTGCGTTTCTTTCATTTGCTTGGAAAGAGGGACTGTCGAACTTAACAAGTAAAACTGGTTAATGAATAAGCTCTCACTTAGCAGTTAAATAATGTTGTCGGACAAATAAAATTATATGTCCACCAAAACTCTTTGTTAAATAGGATTATACGTGTGATAAGATTGCTAGGTGAGCAGGATTGGTTAGATAGAGTTTTCAGTAGAGTTCAAATTTGCACAGTTTTGCAGGATGGAAGAGTCAGCAGAAGCAATGTCGGGAAACTTGTCGCTGGATGATAAGACAAAACAAATGCTAGATAATATGACTGAATGGGAAAATTTAGGACAAAGTATTATCACAGGCAAGAGGACGATGGTAGAGTTGGATGAACGACGTCAGAAATGTCGCGAAGCATTGAGGCAATTGCATAAAGCAAATAGTAGTGCAAATAAGGTTGTTTAACAGCATGAATTTCTATTTCTGTATAAGAAACTAATGACGTCCAGCTTTAGAACAAGAGTTGTCAGATAATGTGGACAAATGTTAATGAGAAATAGCTTAGCGATTTATGGCACAGAATAAGTTATGGTCGAATAAATGTTCTAAAAGTTTCAAATGAGTTTGATGATTTCAGCTCCTACTGAACTAAAGACACCATAACAAAAATTTTTAGCTAGAGCGGTTAGTCTCTCTCGGAAACGTTTCCGTTATTTTAATGAAATTACCTGACAGATATTTTACAAAAAAGGTATCGGTGCAACAAACAGCTTCCATCTCTTTTCTTTTGCAGAAAAGGAAGAATTGGGTTTGCTTTGGAAGTACTACATTTCTCAAGGTTACAATCGACCAAACAAAGCAAATGATTGAAGATGACATGAAGGTTATTGGTGCGACTCTCAACGAAGCTCGAGAAAGTATCAAAAACCAAGTGGATAAGTTGAAGAAAATGGAAAACTGCAAGAGTCTTGTAGATCTTGGTTTCAGCTTGGATCGAATTGATTAAACTGTCGTGATCCAGACCAGGCAGGTCTTTTGTTACTCAATTTTGCGTACAGAAAAGGAGCGGAAATATACTGAGAGTGAAGAAAAGTGCAACTTAAGGGAGTTAGCAGTGTTCTCATATTTTCTCATAGTTTCTGAAAGAAAATGTTTGATTTAACGAGAACGCTACAAAAACCTTAGTAAAATGGAAACAGAACAGTCTTATCAGTGTGAGAAATATTAGATTGAAAAGTGATCAAATCTGATTAAAAAATGAAGCGTTACCGGTAGCTTGTTCTGGACCCCAAAAGCCTGACATTTGGAATGGTTCAGATGAACTAGCTGAGATAGCCTATTGTATGACACGTCTGTCTGTGGTGCAATGCGTTTCTTGTACACCTTTTTGTCGTGGACCGCAATTCATACTGCTTAATGGTGATGCCCACATCTAAAGAAATCATCAAAACAATCACTTTAATTTAAATGTTTCCATCACAAAGTATTACTGTCAACTGTCAAAATTAACATTAAGTTCATTTATTTTGTATAGCTGGTCTTCGTTGGTGTTTTCAACCAATTTTTGAAAAGATATTGATTAATTCGTTTCCGTTGCTTTACTTGTTAGCTTATAAAATGACTTCTCCTTTACGTGACCAGATGAAACTAATTATAAAGCCACATTTGTTACTGGTTAATTTCATTAATTTTTTAAGCGATGTAATCACTTACAATCTTGATACTTTTAGAGATTCTTTTTGGCCATGGTATAATTTGTGGACCGATAACAATTAGGAGTCACTGGACGTACCATCCAATTTGTATATTTATTGTTGCGCAATGAATGTATTGGCACAACTGTCTTCTAAACAGAAGCTATATGGATATCCAAATAGATGAACCGAAAGTTTTTGAAATTATATGCAGTTGCATAGATGTATTGGTGATTATTGATGGTTCATTTATATTTTTCAAATGATGTAAATTACCACTCTAGTCATATACTGTTCTAGGCACCTTGTAACTCATGTAATTCCGGAAAGGTGTACTTTTAAATCGTTGAGTTGCATCACATGGATCAACTGTTTCTGGGTCAGCACGCGCTGTATTTTTAACCGTTGGATTCGTATCGCTTAGCATATCACCTGAAAAATGTATTAAATAGGAAAGAAACGGTAGAGGTAATTTTGCATAAGATATTTCTCACAAGAATTTCTCTTAAGATTCTGCATCTTGCGAAGATGTGGTATGATCTTTTTGAACAACCAAGAAAGAAGAGTTAAAAAGAAGGCAAAAGTACTGCAGATAATGTATTTCCTTTAAAGCAGTTGAGATTCTAGAACCGTTATCAATCTTTATTATCAAGAAATTACGGGACGGCCATTGCTATGTTCTATTTATAAAATTGTTGTAAAGGATTTTAATGTTGTTGATGTAGTGTGAATGTAATCTCTTATGGCTTGAACTTGAATAGTTAATTATAATAAACTATGCTAAGACCAGTTTATCCCTTATCTAAGAACTTTCTACCCTTCTGTTACATGTAGGTATAAAATAAGAAATCAAGCTGCTATACTTTGGTGCTTATTGTTTCAACTTTCTTTCCGATTTGTTCCAGTCGAATTGCTGAGGAGAAACTGTGATGTTAGGACTTCACAGCCTGATCAAAGTAGGTTCGAAGCATGAAGTGAAGTCACTCGTTTCATTTGGTACAGCAGCGTATTTTTCTATATCCTTAATGTATTAATAACTGGATAGGTTTTTCTATCCTCATTCTTGAAAATATTTTGATATTAGCTGTAGGCTATATTTTGACGCATTTTAAGCATTGGTCTCATATCTGATGTAATCATCTAACATTATAAGTTAATATTAATAAGCATCTGCATAAGTATTCGAACTAATCAACTTCCTATAATGTTAGGAACTGGAAGGATGAATTCATAGGGCGTATTACTTGTTGTGCCCAGTCATCTAAACTTAAATTTAATGATCGCTTCGACAGCTTTGCTTTAATACTTTTATTCAGTAACTGCCCCTGCGCACATAAGTTATATCTTTAACCATGTCTTCCTTTTTGTCCTCGTATAAAGTTTTAGCCCTAGTACTTTTTTTTATATCAGTACTATGTTACTACAACTCGTCCCACTTTATTTCATTCCTTTCAAATAGTATAAAATCTGTGCATCAGAATTGTAAATCAAAACGCAACACCTTCAAATTCTTTCAAGATACGTGTGCAACAAATCTGATGAAAGAAAGAGTTATTACCAGTCACCATAGAAGGTATTTTTTCCCTACAGGGGTTACTGCATGGTACTTCACTGGTCCCGTGATGAACATGCCAAAGACCGAGAATATGGCCAGTCTCATGAATTAAATTATTGATTTGTCCAGGTGTCCCGAAACGATCATAGCGAAGTAGTATTCCACCTTAACTGATATAAATATCTTTTTCCCATGGAAATGTTGAAAAGCCCACTAGATCACTTACCATCCAATCACCAAACTGTACTGTCAATCCATTCTCGTTGTCTACTCCAACTACTGCTTTGTATTCTTCGACATTGATATAACGCCTGGATTTATTTGTTTTCTGTCTTTGAAATTAAAATTCAGCATTTTAAAAAGCAAATGACACTTAAATTCCTCTCAGAGCAATGCAATTAAATTGGAATAGGAATGATTTTCATTATTGGTTATGGCCAGTGATTTAGTGTAAGACATTTCGTGGCACGCCTAATTCTTATTTCAAATCGAGTCATTCTGCATATAAATTTAGTACTTGCAAAAGGGAATTCAACTTTTCCCAATCAAATTATTCCACTGATGTAAGCGATTGATTAGTTTTTCTTTTAGTGAAATATTTCAAAAGAATAAAATAACAGAAACAGCGAGATGGAATGCATGGAAAATTCAAAAACTTTTTTCTGAAAAAACAAAATTCAAAGGATTAAATGACGGAAAGGCTAACTCTTCAACAAATTCCATTTCTTTTCTCCATTGTTGAGAATACACGGAAAAGAGTCAATTAAGTGAAATGGCAGCAGACAATTTAATGAAATCTGTACTACCTACATCTTGCAATCACCACCGTCATCACCGGTAATCGCACGACAACATTCAGTGTCACAGCGTTTGTTACCGATCACTGATGACCGACAACCAAATACAATAGTTTTACGTCTTAAAGACGTGTTGCGGATATTGATCACTTCAAGATCCCATCTGTAGCGCAGTGTTAGTAGGAAATTTGCTAGCATCAAATAATCTAAGGGAAAAAAGACGAGTAGTTGAACGTACGTGATGTTGTATGACGCAAAAGCCTTCAGAAGTCCGGCGTGTTGTCGCATCGCTGAACCATCCGTATATTCACATTGCTGCAAGTAAATAGGATTCTATTTAATAGTTCAATTAATTGAAATAACTCGAATTCTGACAAATTTCATTACCAAATGTAAAAGAAACAAATTATTTCTCGTGAATGTTTCTAATAGTTTGAACCCTTTACTGTTTCTATTATCTCATAATGAGCAAAGTATAAGGTAAAACCATTATAAAGAATATTTGAAAGTGGTAATTATCATTCCCTTAGTTCTGTTAATTATTTATTCATTCCATTGGTTTCTTTTCAATTAATTTCTCTTACAGGTAGGGAAGAGAAAAGGAGAAAGAGAAAGCTAAGAGACAGTTCAATGTAGAGCAAATAGTCTCACCTTCCATTATCATCACTAATCAATACTACCCGATATTTCAATTTCTTGACGGCTTGCAAATTCCATTGATGTAAATAATTGCTCTCAACTGTTGGATTATCGCAAACAGTCTGACCACAATAAGGTATTTCTATATTTCGTGGTTTGTCTTTCTGCAGGATTTCTTGCTTTCGTATACCCAAATGACTCCCTAATATTGACTAAGATTATGCTTCCCATTAATAAGAAATCTCTTAGCAATGGGAAGCTTAAAATCTCTTTGAATCGTAAATACTAACACCCAACCAATGATGCATACCAAGGTGTTTCCAATGACGGAAGTCTGAAAATTTCTCTTCAGTGACATTTCCCTCCCATTGTTCTCGAATTAACTCTGAATGATTCATAAAGCGATCCGATATGCGCAGTTTCCCAATATAACCCCGAAATCCGACGATTTGGTCACGACCACTGCTGTCTATCGCCAAATACAATTTTTTGCATGCACTCCGGATTTCCGAATAAAGAACACCAAACTGGGACAATATCTTGAGTATTTGAAAAATTTTTTAAATTACAATGATTTTTGTAAGTTAAGAGTTGAACTTAGGAAAACTGCATTAAAATCTTGAAAAATGGATAATTTTTATCTGCGAGATGTTTTCCAACAAATTAAATTGCATCCTGTTGATAGAAAAAGATCATGCTATGAGATATAATTGGAATACAAAACGTTACCTCACGTACCAATTTATCAACACGTGCACCATTCACGTGAAGTAAAAGTTGATGCGAATCATATGCAATTGCTATTTGAATCCATTCATCGAGACGATAAGGTTTCTCATTTCTTAAATAATTAACTGCGAAAATTTTTGCAAGGTTTCTTTACATTCTGTTAAGTTTTCTCACTTTATTAGATCAGAAAAAATCAAATATTTTTTAAGTCAGAATTCTGCGAGAATTTCTCGAAGTCGAAGGGGAAAAATGATTTTACTTAGGTGACGCATGGACTGCTTCTTTCCATGTCTTTTAGTTAAAATGATTGGTTCAGATGATAAAGTTAGTGGCTAGATAACCTGATCTGATATGATCCAGGTGCTAATTTTGGAGTCAATGATATTGCTAAATGAGCTCCGTGTTCGTCATTGAACTCCGTTTCTATTGAAATCCTCCACGTTGTTACATCCCTCTCTTTTCCGCATATGTCATTAAGTCCTTTAATTCAATTAACAAACTTGGCAGCAGATCTTTAACACAAATTAGTAGACAGGTGTTTATGATATCAAATCAAGAAAATCTTATCATACTTGTTGTAAATAGTCTGACATTTTTTTTGAGTTCGTGTGTTCTCATTATTGCTCAAATCGTGATAGGATAACTGAGTGCAGATATGACTAAGTATTGGCTTCTCAAAGGAGACATAAGATCTTTAACACAGCTATTTTAATTTGCCAAGTAAAAAGAAGTGTTTGACACTGATACTTAAAATCAGAAAAAAGTTTATGAAAGATAGAAAAAACACAAACCAATTATAGTTGCCGAATCTGGCTGGCCACCTTCTATTTGTTGCCCATATTTCCAGCAAATGCGAAACGCATATTATTTCCAAAAGTTTGCCATACTGGCGTACTTAACCGTAATCCTGTTAACCCATTTAAATATAATGCATAATCCCTTGGCACTTCAGGTACTGTATGATAAAGAAGTCTAAAAAAAGAAGTATCTGCATGCAATGTTCGATTTTCCGAGATTCCAAAATAACTTCAAAAAGGAAAAACTGCTTGAATTTGGAAATCACTAAAGTTACGCTTGACTTTTCTAAGATTACCTTATCTGATAATCCAATGGATGACTTATCTTTGGTAACCCACTTATCAATCTCAAACCATTTCATATGAAATCAACTGTAATTCTGATCAGTTTAGCTTCATCCATTGTCTAACACAAATACTCATATATATTGTCATATTTAGTATTATCCAATCGTTCCTTTAAAAGTAGAGGAAAAGAGTTAATTATAATTTTGTGATAAATTTCAAGAAGAAAAAAGGATAGATGATGGGGACCTTGAAGAGGTCAAATTCGATTCCTCATTGATGTCACCGCTAGTTTTCATTGTCTCTTCCGAACAACAGAAGTTATACATGAGAGAATATAGCAATAGTAGTAACAATAGTAACTGTCGTGCCATCATGTGGATTTTAGTTGAAAAACTTTACAGATTTATCAATGGACGACCTTTTTGTCATATACAAATCAAAATTTCAAAAAGCATCGAAGCAGTGGTTTATAAAATTTGTTGAACCTGACTGAGAAGAAGGGGAAAGAATATTGTATTATATCGAGAAACAACTGCTTAACTTGAAGATGCTATAACAGATAACAAGCTCTCGTCAAACTCTGTGACATCTTTCCTGTAACATTTTCCAAGAAAATTTGTTCCATCCAGAAAGTTCAATGACCAACAAGAAAAAGTAGCACTTATATCATCGATGTAATGTTTTTTTTTTTTTCGCTAAAAATACGTTTATAAAAATTTTATGTTTAAGTTTTTTTCCAAATTTCTCAAAAAATATGGAAGCTTTTTTCTTACCTTTTTGTATCATTGTGACAAATATAAGTACAAAAAGCTTTTTAATTCTTTTTAAATTTTACCTTAAATTAAAAGTAGAAATGTAGCGAATGAAGATGAAAGATGTCTTAATCTAATGAAAGAAACTCATTCTAAAACCTTTCAATATTTTTGATAGCAATAGTCATTTTATTATGCTAAATCTGCCAAAAAGCTGTCAGTTTGAATTTTGAAGTATGAAATAACGCCCGGATCATTCGACTTCTGATAACTTCGGTTGACGAAGCTAATTAATTTGATTTTGTGAAATTTTCAAAGTTGAAATAAATCTCTTCCAAATGCAATGACTGAAAATTTTCTTCAAAGTATCATTTTATTTTTCAAATATGCTTTGGTCCATAATTAAATAAAATGTTAGCAAAAGCAAAAAGAAATCTAATTTTAAGATAAAATTAAATTTTCAATTCTCTACAGAATTTCACAAAAACATAAAAATTTTTCAGTAAAATCTTACGATAGTAGATGATTTGAAGTTGTTCCCAATAGAGTTGAAATAAGTTTTGGACCTGGCAGTAAGAATTTCAGTTTAAAATTTAAGCATTAATTTTATGTAATTTGTTCCAACAAAAATGGTTGGGAATGTAAAATTGCATAATGGAATCAGTCCCATAATTCATTGAACTTAGCGCTATTGACGGGGAGGTGTGGGGGTGAGAGGGTAGTACATCTTTCGTTTTCGATAAGCATAGACGAGGGCTTTGGATAATTCGTCCCGAGCTTGAATTTTAATTCTAAAGTTTCCAGCAAAATTTTGAGCTGTAGGGCTAGAAGTTAAAATGTTAAATCAATATTTTCATGCCTAATTTCACTTAAATTTCGAAATTTCAAGGAAAATTTTCTGATTCGAAATTGAGTACTTCTAAATTGCAGAGTTTTAATGCGGATGTGGCATGTATCATTTATCAATTTATCTTTGTTTGTTTTTGCGGTCGATTGTGCAATACCGTTTTTGAATGCTTATTTGGATGAAAGAAGTCAGAAGTCATTACACACAGTTCTGATCAGTGCTCTTGATAGCAACGTTTGGTTTTCCAAATGTTTTTAAACTTAAATCCAAGTTTTTGAAATCCGTACAATATCGTCAAATTCTTTTACTGTCTATTTTAGTTCATAAGCTCTTCGTTATAGTCCTGAAGACATAAACGATTTGGAAGATTTGTGTCTACCAGATAGTTGACCTCAGAAAGGGAACGATTTTATGAAGATGAGGTTAGGAATCTCGTAGTAATAGTTTGAGCAGGTTTGAGCTGTAACCATAATTTTATAGTTGTGTTGGTTTAGCTATAATAGTTATGGTATCAGTTTTTGGGGCAGTGTTTTATTTGCAGTAGCATATCTTCCAGTACAAATATATTTTCTTTGTTTCAGGAGTTATCTGCTATACATCGTGGTGCAGCTGGTTTGAAACTTGCGGACATCCCAATTGAAGCTAGCAAGAATAAAGTGATTTTAAAATGTTTTGACTTATCCATTTCTTTCAAGTTTCCTATATTTTAAAAAGTAGATAAATCTACAAAAATATGATTCATTTTCCTCTTCTGATATTCAACTTTTGATATCAGTACTGATATTGCTAACTGTTTTACAGGCTCTCTGTAGTAGAGTTCAAAAAGTAAATGGTGAAGAATTGGGACAACTATATCATGCAGTTAGTGCTGCGGTTGCTCTGAAAGATTGTTCTCTATCCATACCAAATGCTAAGGGAACTGTCGAAGCAGTGTTAAAACAAGATTCTCCAACTTCTCAGAACATATTTTTGGCACTTTCTATTGCGGATAAATTGAAATTGAAAGTGAACTATAAAGATTTTGCCGAAGCTTTAACTGCTGCACTGGTAAAGGATGATGGTGCTTCTAGGTTACTTTTAACTCCGATACCTCATCTGATATTGCCTTTCTGTCAGTTTAACGAATTACCTCTAGTTTTGTTGGAAACCTTAAATCTTTAAAAAAAATATTGACTTGAACGTTAACATTGATATTATCTGCCTTGCTTTGCTAACATTAATTGTTCTGTATCAAATTATGTTTTAGTCTTTCATATGGATTGAATGCGGCAGCTCTACTGGATAACACTAACGCTGGAAAGTTCTTCATACGAGTCGAGGATCTGGTGGGTCAGGCGGAAGAAGTGGATGGCAAATATCTTCATGTAAGTTTTATAAATTTGCTCATCGAAGTGTAGTGGGGAAGCGGATAAATGTGAACTAGATGAGGGAGGGAAACGGAAAATTACATTGGGAAGTTAATGAATTTCATAACATTAACCGTTGCAGTTGGAAGGTGGCTTATCAATCACTGCTTTTGGCGTTTATGGAATTTATAATCTAGCTGATAAACTAGACAAGTCACCAAGTGTAAAAAGCGTTAGTTTTTATTTAAACGTCAACAAAACGAGAAACTGTTGTAATGTTCATCATTTGTCTCTGATTTCCATAAAGGTGTTTCGAAATCACAAGTCAGCTTCAGCAGTGGTACTAAGAAAACCTTGTTTAGGACGAAGCAGTGAAATTAGTAAATTACTTGCTTAGTCGTAGGAATGTACAGTCGGATCGCGGTGCGTATCTCCTATTGTTGACATTGAAGAAGCTTGCGAATAACCATTTCCAAATTCCAGCTGTCTTTTCTTTGGCATCAAGCGCATTCTTATTGGATACGGACAAAGTGAGTTTATTTCGCAATCAATTTCTATTATTTTTTTGCTAATTTTTTCCGGAGTAGTAGTGCTACTATTGATGTGTTTTATCAAAACTACATTTTCTGAAAAAATCTTCAGTACCAAAGATACAGGGTAATTTTCCACACCAAAGGTCTTCAAATCTGCGACATATTTTTGTTATGCTGCACTGAAATTTTACAGTCATAATTTTTCTAGAAAATGAAAATAATTAAAGCATGAAGGTACTTAAAAAAAGAGTTACTCAAATCTTTTATATATGATCTCGTTATTGAACTTTCACTAATTTCTTATCAAAATTGTCATTATTGATAGTAAAAGTTCATTACAGCCTTTGGTAATTCGTGTTTCGAATGTGTTGGGCGAATCGGTTGGACCATTATCAGTCATTTTGGATACAGTGACACATTTAATTTCCAAAGAAATTGTAGTTGTACGACAACAGTTAAAAGCAGTTGTATCTGATAAAACCAACACGTTATATGAAGTATATGTTAAAAATGTCAAACAACGTGGATTTTATAATCTTGCCCTAAGCGCTGGAAGTCAGGTAATCATCCATCATACCGCACTACGTGAGATTTAAATCGAAGAATTTATTTTATAATCGTATTTTGGAATATCTGAAAGAGATGTGTTTTAAGTAATATTGTAGATGGAAGCATTTGATTATCCGGAAGGATTTAATATTGGTGCTTTTTTTTTCAGAAAGTAGTTAAAGTATTTTTGTGTATTCTTTTCTCTTTTTTCCTATTGTTTTTTTTATATATTATTTTGTTTTATTTAGGTGTATTCCATTCTAGGACAAACGTTTGGTTGGAACAAATGGTGTATCACTCATGATGAGAGTTCTTGTAAAAGTGCATATCGAAGATGTCACAGTGGCTGTGTTCGACCGGGAACTTCTGAAGCCGTCATCAGTCATCTCGTAGGTGCCAAAATATAGTCCAAAATCAAGATGTTTAGTACAATATTTCGTTCGCCCAAGATTTTATATGTTTCGATATTATTGGAGAATTCTCCTTAAATTTAACTCAGCTTCAAATTTGTGAATTCACTTCCATTGTTGGAATAGGATTGAATGAACGCTTTATTCTTATTTTAAAATTAATTTGTTAAAAAGAACAAAAACGATTATAATTTGAGAAGGATGGAATTCATATCTTTCAGAGTTAGGGAAAGTTCAAAGATCGGAAAATTTTTGGAAACCGATCTACACAACAAGATGGAGATCAGATTCAAAGTTAAAGAAGCAAAAACCGGGGAAACAATATTGGTTCATCAGGCATTCGTAGCATTTGTTCATAGTAATACCCGTCAAGAAATTATTTTTGTTGCCACACCGGATCACAACAACAATTACGTATTTGACGTGGTATGATTGGGTTTTTTCTTAAAATAAGTATCTTTTTATATCGAAAAAATAACGTTTTTATACTGATATAGTATGTGTTGTGCACAGCTATTCTCAAAAGATAGGTTTACATGAAAGCCGTCAAATACTCACCGTATATTGCTTGATTTTTTAGGATTTCGAGAAAGTTGCAAAAGACTTTGAAGGTTTATCAGGCCGATATGCAGTTCGATTGGTAGTGGGTGATTCAGCAATATCGCATCCTTTAGACTGGAACTTAGTATGAACATGAAATTTGTTCAAGGAACATAAAATGCCTATTATATTTGACATAAATCTCGATAAGCGTTTAGCATTTAATTGAGTTGGTCTAGGAATGAAGCATTTGTAACAAACAGCGATTTTATCCGTTTTTACTAATATCTTTGCAGATGGATATTAACTTGAAGCTTCCTGCAGTAGTTGCTTCAAAAATAAAAAAATCCGAACGCGTTGTCTACGAGAAAGCACCGGAAATCAGTCATTTGTTTCGGGAGCCGGAAAAACGGCCGCCACGAATTGTTTCAACTATTTTTGTTTTTCTGTCTGCATTTCCATTGCTCATTGTCCTTATTTTGGTATGTTGGTCGAATATTTAAAACTTTTCGTTGACAGTATCAGAGTATTACTTCAGATGCAAATTTGATTTATGAAAGGTTTCAGTGGTTACTCATTGGAATCAATTTTGGAAACTTGCCAGCATCTCCCTTTATTTTGCTTTTTCATGGTGGTTTAATAGGTAAGCCAAAATTTTTTATTTTATGGTTTTCAATTAGTAAGCAATAATGATCATGAGCTAAGCAAACTGTAAGCAACAAACCAGGTCTTTAAAGTGATTCTACTTATTTATGCTATAAGCATTGCAGGTAATTGCTTTGTTAAGAAGTTCAGTTCATTATTTCGGCTTTTTGGGCTGAAACAAATAGTGCCAGGTTTCCCCCCACTAGTAGATGTCATTCATGAATACAGTGACATCTTTCATCGGAATTAAGATGCCCTTTTGATGAACTTAGATTATGTATATGTCGTAACCAACCATAAATTTCACTTCTTTGCCGTATTTTAATAATTTTGTCATCTAGCAAATACTGGAAATTGTTGCTCCAATTTTTAGTACATTCCAAGGACTTTGCATAATACCTTGTTATAGAATCATTTATTTTTTGAAGGAATATTCGGATTATATTTTATTTTCTGGCTGCAGTTAACTATGTTTGAAACACTGAAATATTTATCGGTGATTGGTACCATAACATTTATTTCGGGAAACCGTTTGTTGAGAATACTTGCAGCAAGACGAAAGTAAGAAATTTGAAATTTATTTTGGTAATTATTCTGTGTTATAAAACTTCATTATATATATATATATATATATATATATATATATATTTTGGAGAATAATGAAAATTCAAAGTATCATATTGGATATCTACCAAAGTCCTGGGTGCAAAAAAAAATTTCTGAATGTTGAACTGAATATTTTAGTAAGAAATTCTGGAAAAAGTGGTACTTAAAATTTTCCAGTAGCTTCAAGTGCTATGTTAGAAATAAGACTCACAATGCCAAATATGTTGTTGCAGAGAAAAAACCAATTAATACGAATGAACGAACTGCTGTAATGGGAAATGGAGCTATTGCTTACATAATTTTCATTTACTTCGCATTCTGTGAACACCAGTTTTCCTTAGCTTTCTTGAGTTTTACAGCTGTCTCGATGAATAAATTGTTGAGTTCTCTGGATTTTGAATTTAGACCTAAGATTATTCATTTATTTATATTGTTGATCTGTTTGCTACGGCAGGTTTGTACTTGGCCCTCAATTTTTGATTATGTTACTGTTCTCGCTATTAGGATCCATAAATAATATATGTATTTCTGTGTGTTTCATATGGCAAAAATGGTTACTTGTTCTAATTTATGAAACGATGCGACGATAATGGATTTCAAGAGTTTTGAAACAGCTTAAATTAATTAGATATATGCTAATAAAATCAAAATGCAGATAATTAACGTTAAAATGGATTAGATACATCAGTATTTTTCATAGTGAAATGAGGATGGTTGTTGGTCGCTACATAGAACATTCACTCTACTGGGTGTTAGGTTTTGAACAGGTATCGATCGTTCTATTTAAGTAAGAATGAATTGGTTTCCTGTCAGTAACCATTCCACACGCTGAGAGTGATTTATTTGAAGTAGGACGATATACACAATAGGCTGTTTACCGGTTAATGTAAATCGATCAATTATATCATAAGGAAATGTTGCTAGTTCATTTATTGCTACAAACAATGTCACACCAGCAGAGTAACATCATCACGTGGAATGTTCCACAATCGATAACGTACAATGTCCAGATGTATCTGGCAAATTCCATCGGAGGTCGAGTGCGGTTGCAGACCATTTGACTGAGAGTGTTTATCGTGGCAGCTGATGCTCTACCTCGCTCGGTGTACAATTGCACCTCAGCAAAGAGTACACCGTACTGATTGCCCAGCTATTTGTGGTGCCTCCATATCCTCAGGATACTTCTGTCTTTCATCCTCTTCACCAAGAATATTTATACCACCGGCGTGTTTAATCACATAAAGATCGGCTAAAGCTGATGCAAGGCGGAAAGCGACGTACGTGAAGTGTAGTCGTTGACGTAACAGTACGGGCTCATAAATTGCGCACGCACCCTTAAGGTAAAAACTTTTCTGTCTGATAAAACAATGTACTGCATAGTCATAACTGTCAGAGATTAATGCAATGCTTTGACATAGGCTTATCGATTATCATCATAAATCTAATCATGAAGTTGAAAAATAAGTCATTATAAAAGAAGAAGGAAAAGTACCTTAGCTTCAGGGCAGGTATAACTCCAAACCAAACATGTGGTATCCACAACGGCTCCCCAAATAAGCGGTGAGGGCAGGCTAGCAAACAAACTTACCACAAAGCCTTGAAAACCAAGGGCGATACTTCGGTGCACCGGCGGTACTGACCTAAACGCTTTGCCTACTTTTATGTCGATTAGAAAGAACTGAATAATAATTTGTTTAATTAATGGGGATGTAATCTTGCAATAGATCACTTTTTTTTCTTTTTAGCTATATCAAACTTTTTGCTGCAGCGAAACTGAGATTCTTTTCCTCAGAAGATGTAAAACACAAGAATAGATTAGTAAGTTTTGTTAGTTCTCCATTTTTCAAAAAAAGTTTAGACTTAGATTTCGTTTATACCTCAACTTTAGAAATGAGACATGATGATAACCTCAAAAGTAAAAGCATTCCAGGTACCAAACAATTACCCACGACAAATGATCCAATAATAATGAGAATGAAGAAAAGTGCTGCTTTCAGGCTGCAGTTATCCTGACAGTTCTTTCTCGACAACACTTCCTCAGGTTTGCATTCACATGATGAAAATTCCAATTCCTGCTTTCTCACATCAATCATTCTAACCTGAAATGAAGTATTAAAAGGTAGTTATCATTTTTTTTCTCTTTTTATGACTGGTACCGACTAATGAGTAAATAAATGCAAACATCATGACAACCGGCATGGCAAGGTGAGAAGTAAGCATATCCGGACTTGTCGCAAATCGGATACAATGGTGCTGATTGACAGTCACAATTTGCATTACACGGTTGTGTATAATTGTAATTAGTTAACCTGAAAATGAGTCCCAGAAAGTTTTCTAGATTTTCAGAATGTTCCGCTTCGCTTAGGAAGAAGCATAAAAGAAACAAAACTTTTCAATATATACAACATTCTTTAAATCATAATCCTACGAAATTTTTGGTAATTTCTAAAGAAAAATTTACGCTCAAATATGGTTAATAAGCGGTTATTTCTTCCGACACAAACATGAGAGACCTAAATTAGTTATTTGCGAAGTCCGAAATACTATTACTGTCGCCTATCATCGATTTTAGGAAGAAGTAACACTGTTATATCAAGAAATAATAATAGCCAAAAGCTCCGACAAGTTTTATTGAAAGTGGGAATAAGGAATAGTTCTTATTTCTCATTATTCGGATTCACTCTGTTCTTAAAGGTCACAGATCGATTAAAAGGCGTTGAAAATGAATAATGACACATACCGGCCATTAGCACCAACTGTACTTACTGTCGAATAGCAACCAAAAAAGGCTTTGCTGAAGAAGAGGGCAATGTTAACCATAGATAGGACTAAAATTAATATTGCTGCCCCACGACCGCTAAACTTATGACGTCGTACGATTACACCACCGCTTATTGCACCTATTGCAAGTCCAAATATACCAAAGAATGCTAAAAATCTGTTTATCTTCTGGTGATTACGTACGTTGCGTTGCGTAGTCGAAAAAAGAACTGTGAGATTTGGGTAAAAGGGTAAAATGGACAAGAATATTCCAATAAATTTTTTTTTCTCAGCAAATAAAAACAAGGAAAAGTTACAATTATTTACTCAATAAATTGCACAAAATATTAAGAAACTAATAATTTGTGAAACTGAACTCTTCAACTTTTCTTTAATGTTTTTCCAATGTTCTTATGCTGAAGTAATCTAAGTTAACTAGGAAGCAGATGGTCTTGTATTCTACTTCTCATTTCTCTCTTTTCAGTCCTGTCATCGTCTTAAGTACCAATTCCTCCTAATTGCACATTTATTGACCTCTTTCTGAGTAAGCAGAAACTAACCCATAAGTATGTATACGTTATATTGTGGTATACCAAACTGCGTCTCGAGATATTTCGGCAAGAAAACCATATAACCACGAAATGCTAATAGATCAAGCGATCGAGCTACTAAGAGACCAACAAATATTTTCGACTGCAATATTTCTGCATATGCTTTATGGAGCGCTAAAATGAAAAGTTATATGAGAACAAATAGTGCTGCTTTTTAGTATTACTTGTTGTAATTCTCCTATAATCCACTAATTAAAACATTTAATAATGTGGCAGTGATTATTTCTCTACTAAAATCGCTGCAATCATCTAACTAAACTATTCAACTTTTTAAAAAATCAGTTCATTTTTTTTCGATCTTACTTTCAGTTAATTGCAGTATTAATTATCCTATTTGTCACTTTATTGATGCGAATTACTACCAATAGTACCACTTTATTAGTGACGCATTAACTAGGAATGAATAATGAGAGGATATCGTTATCAAAATTTTCACGTAACCTTAAGTAACCCACATTCACCACTCACACCTATCCTAATTTGGCTTGAAGCACAGTTAACAGATTTTACTATCTCTCAATCTCACCTTCACTATTTTCACTTCACTATTGTCAACCATTTCCCAATGACGTTGCTACATTAAATTATATTAATCCCTTGCGAATGGATCAACATCTGATAGACAGCAATGCGCTTCCTATGCTTAATTTACGTAACAAATAAATTTGCTAATTGCATTTTATAAAGTTTCATAGGAATAACTGCAATTATTAATATGATCTTTCAGTCTATCAACAACTGTCATTAGAATTTGACTGTAATGATGGCAAGACTTGGTGAGAAAAATTGATGGATGGTGAAAAGTCGATAAACAATTATTTTTGAGATGCCCCCAGCAGTCGGCAAATCATCACAAGTTAAAATCAAATAATTCGACAGAAGAATTGCTAGTCATTGTAGGGACCGGGAAGTACAATAACTTTTTACTTACTGTTAACAGTGTTATTTTAATTAGCCGGTGATGCTATGAGAAAAAGATGTGGCAGCTTACAAACCTCGAAATTTGGCAAAAATAGACGGTGATTCTATGATATCATTACTGCGATGTTTGTCAAATATTGAAATTTTAATATCCTTTTGATCCACGCAACCGTTATCCTTAACGCTACCATCTATTATTGTAGATTTAGTCCTGAAATTATTTTTTTTGCAAATAGGATTTTGTGAGTTATCAGTGCTTGTTTCCTTGTCATTTATGTTATTTCAGTGTACTTAAAATGAGAAATATTTGAATTTAAATAACATAAAAATTACCTCACTGGGAAAAAGTACAGTGCTGTTGATGGTCCGATTAGCAACAGACCAATGAGCAAGTAACCCAACCACCATGCGCCTATCCAAGTGGGATCTTTTGCCGATAAACCAGGTGGAGCTAAAATTAATTACATTCATCCAGTAATTTGTTAAATTTCAATGTTCTCGAAGATAGATAAACTTTCGGAAATTACGAATTACTGATCTTTTCTCACATAAAGTTGAATTAAACTTTTGGAAGGCAATGTCTTCCTGATTTTTTTTCACCACGAACTTTTTAAGATATTAAGAGTAACTGAGATAAATTCATACGTTTTAAGGTGTAGTAAAAACTGCTACAAAAGCTTCCAATCAGAAATCCACACACAGGTCCCAGAATTCGAATAAAATTCATACCAGCTAAAATATTTCTTGAGGTAATTTTAATAACATTTGGTTTATTGATAAGTAAGTACTGCACGCTCCATGCTATTATATGTTTAGATTATTTTCTTTTTACAAAATGAAAATTTAAGAAGACATTAGCGATTTAAATGCTATTTTGTTGCTTGGAAAGCAACAAAATGGCAAATAATTTCGAATGTTAAATGTGTAATGCCATTTGGAACTATTTCTCGTTCATGATTTATTGGTCCTGCAAAAGTGAAACAATTTACCAAAGAATGCCGGAAGATTCTTTTTAGAAAAACTATCATCGATGAGCGGTACACCGAGTGACCACGGCATAGAACGGCCGACACCAAAGCCAATTAAGCCAAAAAATAACATCAGAATGGGTGCTTTATACAGGAATTTTTTCCCACATGTAGTTGTCTGAAAGGAAAAATATTTTAAAATTTTATCAAAGGACAACTAATTTCCAGTGATTATTTTAAGCTTCAAACAGTTTATTCTCAATCAAAATATATTTCGGCTAATTCAAGTCGATAATTTGTAAATTAAATTAAACACAACATTTTTTTTACACCCATTAAAAGCTTTTCGTTTGAGAAGTTGCTTACCATTCACAATTAATATCTGATATCAGGTGTGCTATCATTGGTATAGTTAAGTAGCAAAAATAAAAATCGATTTGAATCTGTTTTAATTCAATCTACTTTTGGGAAAAATATTGGAAACATGAAATAATTCCTACTCGGATAATCTGTCGCATTTCATTGATAAGTTTCGAACAGTAAGCAAATGGTGCTTGAACACTATTTTGTATTTTATTCAAATCATTAAGCGTCTCATTAGCTCTCTCAGTGACATATTTTTGTAGCAGATTTTTAACTTCGCTCATATCACTGCTACTTATATTCCCATCAATCATTGTATGCATCTTCTGAATAATCTGAAATTTTATTTTTTGGTAATTTAATCCAAGCATTTGTCACAGAGAAACAGATCGCATATAATCGTTTTCAATCACTGTTAGTTCTTAGCAAACAAAATTATTGTTAAGGTTATCTGTACCTTGGATAATAAAGGTTCATTCAATGTATAATTATCATTGGCAATCGATATCTCATTGCTATTCTGCAAATTCCTGGCATTTCGTGGCATTACGTGGAACGAATGATCATTCAATGATATTACTTTCTTCAGAAAATCTTCTCTTACACTTCCAAATATGCGATCATTTATAAGTTCATAATCAAACAACTTCGCTAATTCAGCATTCGGCAACAAAAGTTCGTCAGATGGTAACAAACGTTTCTAAAACTAGTTTAGAATTTAATGTTTATCATATCAATGCAAATATTTCAACTTTTTTCTTAGACGTTTAATTGTTGAATAAAATTCTGGAAAAAAAAAAAAAAAAACATGCTTGAAGAGTGGTGTAATTAAGAATTTGTTGTTCAACTGGAAATAAAAAATTGGATGAAGAAATGAGTAAATGTGAAATTGCTGTCATGAAAGTACCAATACCAATCCATTTAACTCGATTGCCTTTAGAGCCAAAATATGACACAAAGATAACCACAGGAATGTATGCAAAATCACCTGCAACAGCAAGTAGCTGTAATCAGTTAATTAATTACAAATGACATATGACATAATTCACTTCATTAAAATGAGTTTAATTAATCGAAGCTTCCAATTAAGACAGAAATATAAAATTTAATGTATGGATATTTGAATTAATCCAGTCTCATGGACATTTAACTAAATTATAACAAATTTTCCAGAAATGTAATTCTATAGGCAAAACATATTTGTAGCAAATAATAATTCCTTTAGTCTTTTATACAATCTTCTAAATCATTCATAATTTCTTATATTTTTTCTTTTTTTTTTTTACATTAATTTAAATTTTTGCAAATTACTGCTTTTCCATGAGAAGCATTAGTTTTCAAAAGATCATTTTTTTATTTTTTCACTTTTAATAAAATCATTAGTATTTTATGCATACATATATTTCATCGTATAAATTGTCATACCAATTAGCCTTAGTCTTTTAAAAGACTTTTCTTTATTGTTAGTCTTACTTTTCTTCCTCTAAACAGTCTTTTTTGAATAATTTGAATAAAATAATTGTCCACGAGATCCACCAGATGCATATTTAGTAAGCTTTACGAGAATACAATATGCAGGTTAATTGGGCCTTAATTATTAAATTTAATCGTTGAATGTCGTTAGAAGGAAAAATTGGAGGACTTACTGGCACTAACCATAAAACCGGATAACTTCGATGGTACTTGGAACTGTCGTTCAATTGCTTGGGTTGTGGAAATGATATACGTAACACTAATTGATTCCACTAATAGTACAATCGCAAATACTGCGAAAAATATATGCATGTGATTCACTTTTTTGAAACGTCTATAATCGCTACGAATATTAAGCTATTATAATATTCAACATTAAACACATTTTTGTGGGATTTAATTTCTAATTACTTGTTTAATTCCTTTGATTATTTATTCGTTATTTATTTTCCCTTCCCTTCCATATTTTTTTTTTTTAACAAGAAATTTAGATAATACGCAACATCTGTTTAATCTCTGATCGAAGCAAATCTATCAACTCAACAAAAAAAGAGAACAATTTTGCCTCATCTGAAGAGGAGATAAGGTTGGCGTATAACCCCATTTCAGGAAAATATTTAGAAAAAATTTATTCTCGGAAAAATTTTAATCTTAATATTTTTTAAAATTATTTCTAGTAGTATCCAGAGGAATCTTTGAAGTTCTTTTCCCTCATTAGATTAAGCAAATGCATTCTTTCCTATCATTTCCTCCTTCTTTCTATGAGAAAAATCATTTTCCATTTTTGTTTTCACTTCATAAATGTAAAATTAAATATTTGTCTAGAAATCAAAATCAAACAATAAAATCACCCTCAAAAAATGAAAGAGTTTTGAGGAAAATAAAACTTACAATTTAATAAAAATTTCAATTTATCAGAATTAATTTGTTAATGTACGCGGCACGATGATGCATGCAAAAGTCAACAATAAATTTTTTTGCTTTTACCGTACTTAGCAATTTCCGGGTAACTTAATTTCACTACCTGATTTTTCGTCACTTAATATTAATATACTAACTTTATCAGGCACGACCATATGCCGCCATTGTCGTTTCTTAATTTTACCATTTTGTACTACTACCAATTAAAATAGTAATTCCAATCGTAATTTAGAGCTTGAAAATCGGTAATTGGCACTTAAAGTATATTTTTATTCAAAAATGTAGTTCGCCATCGACGCGATATGCGAATTATAGAGATTGCGATGAAGAATCAAACATGACGTCATTTACTCCTAGAAGCTTTGTGAAGCCAAAACGATCATATGGCGCTTTCAAAGTAACTTAAACGCAGAAACAAATAAAAAAAAAAAAAATCAAAATCTAACTTTGATAACGCAATCAGAAATGCTTGAAGAATTCAACACAACAGCCAAAAACACATTACAATATCCAATCGATAATAATTGAGAGGAAAATTGCCAATTACTTAAATAAATAATTAAGCAATAAGTGAGAAGGTCAAGTGATAATTGAAATTAGGATGAAAGTGAGAAGCAATGAAATAAGTCGACTTATTATCTGATTATTTGAACATCAAATGGTTGTTGTATGTAACAAAGATCAGATGGAATGCTGCAACATATTATCGGAAATAAGAGAAAAAAGAAGGAAAAAACGAGTTATCAAAAGCGATTGTCATCGTTTTAAATCATTCTACCAAAAATTAAATTATTTGATCAATTCTTCTCGAATAATAAAAAAAACCCGTCCAATTTCAAACGACGACAATTAGTGGTAACTGCATCATCCAACTGTATTACTTTTAAAAATTTTTCAAGCAGTTAAGTTATTCCAAGATACATTCCTCACTTTCGTTGCTTAATCGGTTTCGCTAGTTTCCTACTCGATGCATTCGAAACATTTAATGGATTGGTTAGAACTGCATCATTTGACTTGAACAGGGTAAGTATTCATGAAAATGAATATTATAGTCAAGCTGATATCTGAATTTGCTCAATTTAGCTGACTAGCATTTTATGCTGTACTAAAATGCAAGAGAAATCAAGGCTGTTCAGAAATAAATTTAGGAGTGCAAATCATAGGTCGAGATTAATCCACTAACTTGCTACCATTTTAAAAAATAATAGCACGAAAATTTTCAGAAAAACCATCTGAAGCAAGAATAAACTATAATCTCGAGAAATTATAGTTTACATAAAGCCAATTTCTGTACTCCATTCATGAATTAGTGCTAAGAAAGTGAAGTTATGAACTGATAAGCAATTCTTTGTTATTTCCACAGGCTTCCGAATAACCGATGGTTTCATTCTTTATTAATGCAAAAAAAAGAAAACAACACGAACTATCGCGCGATGCACTCTTTATCTTTTATTATCAAATACACACATCAGAAGTGATCAAATAAATGCAAAAACAAGTCAAATATAAAATATGTCAATTACCGGAACAATAAAAATGTCCGATTTAAGTGATCAAATAATGAAACGAGTGAAATTTTTTTACAAAATATCTGCTGGCACTGGTTTTTTAAAAAAGAGAGGGAAGGGGAAGAGGGAGAAAAAGGAAGAGAAATTCAACACTGAGAGAATTAGCTATCACAGTGACTCACACTATTCAGTTCATTTATTACTAATAATATTGATAACTCGTCTGCAACAAAGGAAAACTTTCAGTATAAGTGGATGAAATTTGTGGGATAATGCCACGTTATGGATGATTAATCTTCTCCTCATTATTGTTTAAGTTTACTTTAAATTAAACTTCTGTAAAGATACGGTATGAGATTAATTAATCAAATTACCCAAGAAATAGAAGATAAAATAGCTAAGAAGCAATTAATTTATTTCAAATTATTCTATTTAAAATATAGGAAACATTTCTGGTAGCAGTGTTGTTATCTGTTGAATAACTATTGTTAATTGCTGTTGTGTTAAATGTTGCAAATGCCTCCTGTAGGAAGAATACTTTCCGTCCTTATTCATTTTTTAAGCATTAAAAAAGTTTTTAAAAATAATGTCTTTTACTTCCTGATTCTTTGCCTTCTTTCATTCCCTTTTCTTTCCACCACTTTGCAAAATTTTAATGGTTTCGAAAAAACAAAAAAATAAAGCATTACTAATCATTAAATTCAACATATGTTGCTAAATTTTCCTACATTCCCAGATTATCTAAAGGAAAAGTTAGGTATGAATAGAGTAAATGCATACAGTAAAAAGGAAAGAAAAAACTGTTTGAAAGAAGTGAAAATTGTTCTTTTATACCAGTTATGGACAGCAAATATAAAAATTCAATAGAATAATGAATTCGCTATTCTTTGCTTCCTTTTTCTTCTGGTTTGATATTTATTGCATACAAAGAAGTTTCATCTTTCTTTGCTATTCTTCTATGAGAGTGGAATAGAAGAGGTAAAATGAGACGAAATAAGTTGGAGCGCCAAATATCCATATTCACAAATACAAATATCCTGGAATACAGATAAACATCCTTTATCAAATGTATCGTTAATTGATTTATTTCTGCTTTTACAAGAATATATCCACTCTATTACTACTACTGTTCCGGATAAGTGACGATTGAATGAAAAAAGAATGTCTAAGATATATTCCAATATCATTAGAGGAGGATGGATATTTAAACCAGATGACCTAACAAATCATGAATCCCTTTCCTCATTGCTTCTTATCATTTATCATCATAAAGCACAATTTGCAATCTAACCCCAACATAACAGATGCTTCCACTTCCATTTATAATGGTGAATGGATCACACTGGCCTAGACTGCCTTATAAATGGGTTAAATTTCAGTTAAAAATTTAAAAGCCATGGATAGTAACAAGATCACTTAATAATACATTGAACAAATAAGCCAAATATCAATCCTTCTTTGAAAACCAATGCTTCGAATCATTAACATCATACCACATGCATCATAAATTGTGAATAGACTTTGATATGAAAAATGTGCAGACACCGCTGCTTCATATCACAAACCATAATTACAGATGAACGATGTTATAAGATAGGAACAATAAAAACTAAAACGAATCTTTAGTATGAAATTTCCGAATACACATGGATACTAGCATTTTCACTTCACAACACCAATTTCCCATAAGCATACACCCAAACTTCATTTAATAAATTTCTCTCAAGCGTAACATTAATTTGAACAAAATATTACAAATCAAATGTCTCACATCTACCGATGTCCATCATTCTTCCACCGTACAAAGACTGGAAAGGTTCACAGCAAAAAACAGTCATAATCCTATCAGCAATCTGAGAAATGTCAACTGCTGTTTACAAATGATCATTGATTGATCCCAATAACTTAACTTTGGTAATAACTTAACATTTAACTTCAATTAACTTGACTTCCTACCAGTATACAACAAATGTGAAATGCTTGAAACACATAGGCTAATAATCTGTTATAATACAGGAAGCAATGCAAACAATCTAGTGAAAAACAACAGATCCCTAAGTATTTCCTATAATAATAACATCTACCTTCTTTTTTCCCCGACACTGCCAAAATCTTTTTCATCAAGACTACAGATGATGGAATATAGTACCGTAATTCCCTTAATGGTATGATGGAGTGGGGTTCCTTTTTTCTCTCTTGGAAACACAGCTCTCTTGCAACTGCAGTACAAATTTTAGTACATGAATGCAAAATAACGAGAAAGAGAAAGCGCAGCACAAGTAATTCAAACCAACATTACTGTTAATTACTGCAAGTCGGAATCAGTGATACTACCAGTGGCGGAAAGCTGCTTTTGCTCTATACCAGGTTGTACTTCGGATAGTAAACCAACAGGAGGAACAAAGACTGGAAAAGAAGTTGGACCAACAGAAATTTCAGATGTCATCGCAGGCATCGATTGTTTTTGGGTGCCTTGAACTGATACTGACACATTCTGCAACATTATCGACTGCTCAAAAGATAAAAGTATATCAAAATGCTTACACTACCGAAAAAATTTATCAGCGTAGATTCCCAGAAATATTTTACTACTCGGTACATTGTTTTCTTCCCCAACGTGATGGGAAATTCAGATTTCATGATGCTTTTGTTAGAGTAATTCGGTATTCTAAGCAAACGGCATATAAGACTGAATAGTTTGATAATGATTCCATCATGGAACTCATTCGTAAGCCATTAAGTCATAACCAAAATGTCACGAAAAAGTTACATCTACTAGATGACTGCATTGTTCCGGTAAAAACATAAAACTCACAGTAAAATAAGTTGTGAACTAGAGATTGTTTATAAATATTTTGTTGCTTCAAATTTAGGAGAGCAATAAAGAAATTCAATTACTAAACTCTCCCTGGAGATGTTATTAAACACTGGATATAAAGTCAGGAAAACTGAAGTTTTAGATGGAAGTATATGGCTTGTCTTACAAGTTGGAAAAAGAATTAAAACACAAAGGGAGGAAAAAATGTTTTCATGAGTCATTCAGTAGCACAAAATGAACTGATAGATTTAGAACATAAAGAAAAATTTAAACAGCTGCTGTTAAATGAAGTAACATTTCGTAATCTCCAACTATTTGTGTAGTTGCCCGAGCTCTATTGAAAAGATAACTAACAGAAAAATTATGGAATAAAATCTTTGTCATCTCATTCATACTTTCCGCCACATTTTTTTAACTAGTTTCTTTGAAAAGGATGAAAAACAAAATGCATAAAATACTTCAGAGTTTTTTTTTTTAAAAAATAAATTTTGTACTTTAGTTTTCTAAACTTTCGCACCCTTTCTTTATCTTTTTCTTGAGTAATGGCAACCATCTTAGAATCATTCCAATACCGTCAGTTCTCCATATGTTTAAACTGCTTATTAAAAAAAAAAAAAAAAAAAAAAACCTTTTGTTTAATAAGTTACAAATTTGAATTTCTAAGCTCGAAGAAAGACCGAGCTTCCTTAGAATTTCTAAATATCCTCAAACTCAAAATCAATAATAGAAATAATCAAATTTTACTTTGAAATACGAAAAGCTAGTGCTTCAAATGCTTAAGTATTCAATAAAATCTGATCTATTTACTTTTAAAAATATACAAGATGTAATACTTGAATAGAAAGGGGCTGCACAGGATTTGGTGAGACTGCACCGGAGGAAAGCTGCTGCTGTTGTAATTGCAACTGCCTTTGTTGCTGTTGCTGTACAAGTACTGTCAATGAATTGACTACTTCAACTGGAGCAAATTGTTTCAAAACCTGATTTTGGCTTTCCAACTGCGCAACCTGAAAACAGCAAAATAACACTCCTACGTCTCAATAAACAAAATCATGAGATAAGTTTAAACTATCCATAAATGATTTTTTCCCTGGTCACAAAATCACAGGGCCAGAGTTTTAAGCAAATCACTATTTACCTTTGCTTCCAATTCAACAATTGTAGAGCGCAAGATTTCTACTTCCTCGCGGACAGCAAATGTCAGATGGGTTTTGACCAAATCCTGAAAGTATAACAGAATATGTAAACTTTTAAAAGACCAGAAAAGAGTAGTAATATTCCTAATAATGGCATACTAATGACTCATGACTTACTAATAATGGATAATGATCTGCTAGATTCGATTTTTATTTCTAATGAGCAAACATCAAACATTCATGTTTAATACCAACCGCTTAAATAACGCTGATATTCAAATAACAACTTTGAAATCAGAGATGACCTTTCTTTTTTAATCCCAAAAATTTGAGCATTATAATTAAACTTCTCAAAGATCATAGAAAACAACATTAGAAATACTCTTTTAAATTTTAATAATAACAATTCTAATGAAGATTCTACCCGCAACCAACACAAATAGAAAAGTCATTTCCTGATTCAAAAAATTTGATCGAAAATTTAGACCGAAGAATAAGCTAAAAGTAGCCTTAAACAAAAAAACGAGTTCAGCATATAACAAGGTGCTTTCAAACAATAACAATGTATGAATAACTATAAAACTGAAGTGGTGTGGGATTGTGATAATAATGAGACTATATGCATATACCTGAAACCATTCTGAAAAAATGGGACAAAGCAAACTAACCATAGCTTGTTCAATTTTATTATCAATAGGTACTACATTTTGACCGGTTGTTGATGTACTTGTTGCTGCCCTGTAAGCACACTATTGAGTATTAACATTTTTATCTTAACTCGTTACACTTTAACATAAATTTCAATTAAAAACTGTTTAATTATATAAAAACCACGCCTTATTTTCGCAGAAATTTTTCACTTCAAATTCTTTGTCGAATATAAAAATAAGTATGCAGCTAACTAGGTAGCAAGTCACCGCAAAATTAGGTAATAATCGATTTTTAATTTGAACAGTACTCTCTGGCACATCCTTACTCATTCCTGAGATGAATTCATTCATTTCAAAAAAGATCTCTGAATGAGTCAAAACGAAAAGATACACCTTATATTTGGAATTAGCATCAATTACAAAGAGAGATAAAAAAAAAAAGAAAAAAAGAAGAGGAGAGCGAAAAAAGGACACAATGTTCAGCTATAATAAACACGTTATTAAAAAGAGAAGTATCTAGTAAAATGCTCCAGAAGAATAACGAATGATAATGAAGTGCAAGGAAAAGCAGGGATGTCCCGACCAACTTTTAAATCCTTTATTTTAATAAGGTAACAAAAGTTGAAGTATAAAAAAAGATTTGAAGAACATACTTTTGACTCACTGATAATCACTAACTACATTTTGTACTAATGAATACATCCTGGCCATATTTTTTCAAGTTGATTTCGTAAAAATATAATTAAATGAATTATCATAAATAACCAAAAAAAATGCTCGGTAGAGTAATAAAGTAAGCACACCAAATATAATTAATTCAGCCGAAAACTGATTACAATTAGAGTTTCTAATTTTTGTTTTATTGACTTATTTTAACGTCATCAGGATTACGTCTTAAAACTCTTCAACTATCAATGTCAGATACAAAAACAAATCTCATGGTAGAGTATCAAGAACGGGGTTTAAAAAAAAAGTAAAGCTGAATTTAAATTGAAATAATATGCAAAATTACAAAAGAACAGTGAAACAGTGAAATAGTGGTATACATCCAAAATCGACGTATGTGATTATAATCATGAGATAGAGGTTATACTGACATACCATTCCCTTCACCGTACACACGATATCATGTAGTACTTGGAGTGGCAGTGATATCAGTGATAAACATTTCGTTATCACACTGTCATACCCACTAGGTAAATCCCAATGTAATGGGAATATAACAATCCTTATCTCTTTTTGGCATTGATAGCAACCCCAATTGTAACACTTAAAGCTTTGCATGAAACAAAGTCAAAATACTAAGAAGTCTAATACATTAGACCAAAAAAATTCGAGAAATTAGCAGCGACTCGAGAAATTGCCCCGAACTTTGTTCTACAAAGGATAGCAAAAAAGGAAAGCAAACAAGTCATAAAAAGCTGATTAAACTTCAAATTTAATCATAAATCTTATTTATCGTAAATCAGATCTTTCCTCCTTGGTTTGTACGAAATCCGAATGGATCAACGACACGAGACTGAACGATGCTTACCTCATAACTTCGACAAAATCAAGAAATACAGTTGATGAGCTGGTGGATATTTTAGGATTTGGTTTGTCGGGCATCTCACCGAAACCCAAACTTGACGAAGTAGACGAACTAGACTGCTGACTTGTATACAGTGAGGGTGATGTTGGTTGGATCTTAGCGGAACCTCTAGAACTGATCGACGAAATCGATGAAGCACTCCACCGATGTACGGCATTACCCTGAGCGGTATCCGGCGTAGTTGGTGGGGTAATTAAGGCTCCTGATTGATTATCGAATGTTGTTGCTGTAGCCAAGTTAGTCACTAACATTCCACTCATACACGATGCAATAGTTTGTCGCCGCTGTGCTTTAGAGGTTGACTGACTATAGTTGCAAAGGATCGCCAAACTTGAATCCAAGTCCTTCATCGATACAATGCGCGCATATTCCATACAACAGGTGGAAGGTGATGTTGGAGGTGAGCTACGCAGAAAAACCATCTTTATTGTCTTTTGTTCACTTATCGATTAGTTATCAGTAACTTCTGGATATTTCCCATAAACCAGAATAACAGGCAACAGATCTGCTAGTGGGAGAAAAACAACATATGATCGATGGTGGATTTTATACCAAACATCCACGATCAAAGAAGAAAGAATATGCACTTTTTATCTCAGTAATATTTATTCTTTCTCTCAACTTTCCAGTACCAGCAAATTCACCTTTCCAATAATTAATGTGCGCTTTGCATGTGTGCACCTTCTGGCAGATGACTGAATGAATAGCGCATCCACGATTGAATGATATTAAGGGTGGAAAAAGAAAAATTCAAAGAGCAACAAAAATAAAGACCAAAAATATAAATATAGGCGTTTTTGCTTCCAGCTCTCCTTGCTCTGCAATAGCAAGTCATGAAAAATGCATTTTTCCATCCGAAAATTTCTGGAAACTAATCTTCCGCGAACTTTTCCCGAATAATACCGAAACAAGCAACGAATGCTGGTTGACACAATCGTTCAAACTTCTAACTTTCACATCTGTCAAATAGCATTAACCTATAACATGTAAACAACAAGTAAACTGGTAGGGAAGATGCAATCTATTGGTCAACTGAGACCACAAAGTTCGAATGAATACCAAAAATAAGTGGATAAAAACAATGAAAATATGATGTCTAACGAGAAATTTTCTCTGGTATTACTACTACAACTGTTTCATTTCAACTTCTAAAAGTATATTAGATTTAAAAAAAGCTATATTATAAAAGATCAAAATATCCCATCATTATAGAATATAATAATTACAAGAATCAACGATACATATTTGGAATATATACCTGCTTATTGCAGTTTAACTGTCATGGCATACTGTTTACACACTAGTTATCATGTTAGGAAGAATAAGAGAAAGAGAGGGAGAGAAATTCAAAACTACATACTTTAATTAATAAATCAACTCAGTCGATTGCAATTATATCCTAACAGATACGTCATTGAAGAATCTCCCACCAAAAATAAGTTGTCTTCCTGCTTGAAAAACTAGGAAATCATATTTCTGAGAGTGTATCAAGAGGTAAAATGGTACTCCTGATGTACCCGAAGATATCTAACAATAAATTCTAAGACTACCCAGCCATTATACTGCAATAAAACTGCAACTGCTCCTGGCAATATTTATAAAAAAAGCTAGCAGCATCCAAACCAATCACCACTTCCTCTCTTCCTTCAGTACTTTTTTCCTCTCTCTTTTTTGTCTCTACATGAGCACATACATTGAAAAAGTGAGAGGAAAAAGAATGATGCTGATTTCATGGTTTTGGTCTGTTACTGTTGAGATTGCACTTCACAATATACAATCAAGTTATCAAAATTTTAGAACAACCTTTTGATAGTTAAAACTATATGAAAATGTTCATAAATCTAACTTTATTTACTCTTTAACGGAGCATCATATCAAATCATTTAATGATTACGAAAATTGGGAGCACGAACCGTCTAAAAAAGTTTATTGCAACGATATGAGCATGAAAAGTGGGGAAAAGGAGCGATGTTTCATAGAGTTTATTTAAACAATATTTCAAAACGTAACTTCACTTCAAATTCACTAAACATTCCAAACAATGCTTTGTCATCCCATATAAAGGACAACTATACGAGTTATATTTATCTGTGACTAATTCTAATCAAATTCGGCAGTAAGTGAGCTTCACCTTTAGTGAATGTTACCATGCCTCCGAAACATAACTATAAACCCAATTATATATATTTAAATAGCATATAGCTATGATAATGCGACACTATCAACACTTTTCATTCAAAAACCACTCCGAATCAAAAGAAAAAAAAACGATTAAATTGTGTAGAAAACACGAAGAAATGTTGCTTCCCTTTGATTTTATATTAAAATGATATAGAAAAATAATTTTCTAGAATATTTTAGTAAACTCTAAAACGAGACAAACAGGTCAATAATTTATCATCTGCATTTATGCAAAAATGAAAAAATAATAAATTCGAATAAAAATCCTCTGATCAAAAATTTCATGGTTCATTCAAAATGCAAAACCAAAATAAACATTAACCAGGCAATCTTCTGAAATTTTAAATGGCTTTTAATTAACATGCTGACTCTAAACATATGAAATGCAGTAAAAGTTCATATGAAAGCATTTTTAACAAAAATTAAGAAAATCATTTCGTAATGAGTGCTGTCGGAAAAATGTTTGAAAGTTCAAAAATTTTTAAAATTTAGAAATTATTTGTTACAGAATGCATGAGTGTTACATAAAGGAAATAATTTTTCTCCGCTCCTTTCAAAAAGGAGCACAGAGGTACCATAAATTAGTTCAAAAAAGTTTTGTCAAAGTGCTTCGCAAATAGTAATTTCCCATTTTATTGCGAACCAGTAATGGAAAAAATCAAAATACAAAAAGCAGCAACATTTAAGGAATGACGCTTACGAAACTAATGTTATTCGTTTTGAAACTATCTTATGTCGTTGTACTTTTGAAAATTTTCAAACATTCTTAGCCATGAGCCAAGCCAAAGTATTCAGCAAACACTCTGGATGTTTTTAGCACTTCTAAGAAAAACATCGCTTTATTTCTCCAATCTCTTTGCCGAACTGCACTTTTAATTTATACAAACAATCCTAAAAAATTTCCTTTCGAAGTTGATTAGGACATTAAAATTACTTTTCTTTATCAAAAAAGCAAGAGAGGGAAAGTTTACAGAAAAAACAAATCACGTTATCAGAGGACTATTAAAGCTATTTTTTTCCACTCAGAAACTAAAAAAGATATTTCATCATCAGATGATAATATTTACTGATAAGGGAAAGTAGAAGCAAAAATTCAATTATTTCCCTATTCTAAAAAAAAAAAAAAAAATAAATAAAGAAGGCAAAAAAGGAAGGGAAGGAGAAACCTTGAAATTATGGAGATAGATTTTTCTTTCAGGCTACACATTACTGAATTCCTCGTACTCACTGGATTGGGATGATAGGTTAATGTCAAAACTAATATATTTTGATTTGTCTCATAGAGAGCATACATTAAACTACAAATTATTTTTACAATTCAAATCAGAAGATAAATATCAAGTAGCTGAAACTTATAAAATAGAAGCTATCAAATTTTTCAAGTTTTCAGAATTATGAAATATCAGAAGAAAAACCTAAACGAAGTTTCTCAAATTTCGACATAACTGTTTTGTGTTTCTCGCCTATCAACCTGGAACAGCCATTTGACGAAAATAGAAGAGACTACATTACGATGAAAAATAAGCCTTCTGAAGAGAGAAAAATTAATCAGCTTAAGTAAACCACTGAAAGGCTCACTGTCACACCCTTTCTAAAGGAACCAGCTGTTTCCGGAAGTGAAAGGAATGAAAAAGATCGGTACAATTAGAAAAAGCGTTTCTTTCAACCTTTCCTTCCCATCAACACTTCTGCAAGAAATAAATGTATCGTGTCACAAATCACTCATCCACTCCGAACAGACAAATCGGTAGCATATGCATATGTGGAATCAGGCGACATCACAAAGTGCAAACTGAGAATGCCTGAACCATGAACCACCAAGAAATACGACAAGCACAGAACAGAACTTTCTACAATAAACTCTCAAACTACTATACAAAAGAATCAAAAGAGAAAAAAGTACTGAAAGGGAAAAACTATTAAGGGTATGATAACATAAATATAATGAGAACTGTGGCAGTATAGTAGTCTTATGACATATTCCTTCAAATCATTACTGAGGCAGTAATGGCAAAATGTGAATAATTGAATATTTTCGCCTTTCTTATCTCTGCCCCTAACAAAACAGCCAAATTTTAAGGTGAAATGTTTGAGAGAGGAAGCAAACTAAAAATATGAATAAGACAAGCAAGCTACTCATGAGTTGCTCATCTCCCACTTCCCTTTTTTGGTAAACGAATCAAGTTATCATATACAATTCGTTCGTAACACATTTGGGTGATGAAACAACATATAAGCGTATTATAAGTCAAATTTATATGACGAAGTTACCACACAACCCTCCCATATCTTTCTTTCTTCGATATTCTAGAAATCAATCCAAAAAATGCACAACTAATCGATCGCATTGGTAACAGAACTATCACATCTATTATAAGACAAAAGAAATAAAAAATGGATAATAAATAGGCAATTTCCACCATAAGATCAATTTTTATATGTCTCTCTATCCAAATCATTATAGTATTTTGGAACATATAGGTAACGTAATTGGAAGACAAAAAATTTGAAACAAAACAGCAGAAATAATATGCCAGCACATGACCACTTACAAAATGTGACAAGAAAGCATATAATAACTTAATGTTCCTCGTATAAGGCAACAATATCCTTTCCATCTTCGCTTATAGCTTAAACGTTTCTCAAACGACTGGAAACTAACCACAAAAGAATTGCATACTTTAACAACCCATTTAGCACTTCCACATACTTCGAAGCCTTTCAGAACCGAAACTTGATAGAAAAGATTTATCTTTCTATATAACATAAATAGCTTTGCCTTGTAAGAATGAAAAGTCATTGAAGCCAATTTTCAAATAAGGAAGTTGTTTCACTGAGGCTGGCAAAAAGACTTTATTCCTCTTCCAAACCTTTATTTCTTTATTCAATTTATTTCAAAGTTAATGCCCATAATGTTCCTTCCTCCAAGTCACGTGTCCGATTTACAAAGTTTCTTCACACTGCCGTTTTTTAATTAACAATCAATCAGAAAAGCAAACAAGAAAATTAAATTCAAATGTTTTCAATAGGTTTCTATAAATGCATGTATGTCAAACGGCCACTGTTTACCCAGTACATCAAACCACTGCTGCCTTTAATCTATGACTAAATTTTAGGCCGATTCATCCCTTCAGCAAGAACATTTAACCAATAATTTTAATAATGATAACATTTAATCTGCAGTGACAACTGGCACAATTAAATGACTATGTTGGAATCATTATCTGCAAATTTAGCATGA